AGAGAGAGAGAGAGAGAGAGAGAGAAAGAGATGGGCAGGCATTATACCCCACTTCTCCTTGGAAAACGCACGAGCTTCATTTAAGGATTTATGGAATCCAGATGAAGAACTGCTGAGAGTTAAGATAGAATAAGCTTTGATCTGTAGGTCACCCCCCTCCCCTTGATAGATAGATAGATAGATAGATAGATAGATAGATAGATAGATAGATAGATAGCTAGATAGCTAGATAGATAGATAGATCAAAAGGGGTGTGTATTAAAAAGAGAGGAATTTTTTAAATTTAAAAAAAAAGGGGGGGGGGGGTAGCTAAAGCTAAAAGCAAACGTGATCACAACGTCAGATTTTATTTTTTAGAATGTCAGTTATTAATGACGAAGAACGGTGAGGGTTTGGACATAGATCTACAGGTCTGCGTCTACATTAATGTTCCTATTTCTTCACCCCTACGTGCAGAGCCTAGTCCATGCTCCGCTCACTGGGTGCCGAGACCGTGGACTCTCCAAGAGACTGCAGAGATACCACACAGAGAGACAAATGATCGGAGGGTCGGGAGGAAGGCTGACTGCAGTGGAAACAATAACAGTCAGGTGATACTGATAGATGAGAGAGAGAGAGAGAGAGAGAGAGAGAGAGAGAGAGAGAGAGAGAGAGAGAGAGAGAGAACGCCCGTTTGCTCAGGGCTTCAGCCTCCAAGACCCTGGTTGGGATCCCTAATAGTAACAGGGCGTTCCACTGCTTGGGACGAACGGGAGGGTTTAGCGGTTCCCCCACCCCTCTTTCTCTCTCGTTAGATGTGAGTTCACTCGGTACCAGCTGAATTAAAACATCATATGACACTGAGCGTCTTGGTAGTACATAGTAGAAGCATAGTCTGTGTGGTCTGGCGTTAGGCCACAGAATTCTGTAGAATTCTGTGCGTTAGGCAGACATCACACATATCTTAAAATGCGAACCCTGATCGGAGGATTTTTAGGAAAATATACGTACTCATTTTTGTAGATTTTGAAAAGCAAATGAATAAAAACCAAACAAAATAACAATGCCCAACACAAAACCGAGGAATTATTCTCCTTTCGTTTAGTCCGAGTTAACGTTAAGTTAAGTCCAGGCTTACTGGATGTGCGTTCCAGAAAAACACGTTTTTTTTTCTTCCTTTCAAGGCTCCACCAGCTTACAATTTGATCAACACTGCTGGTTCCCGCTGCAACAATGTGAGTGAAGCCGCCTCTGTCACACAACAGTCAAGTTGCACCAGCTTCACCCCCAGCAGCACCGACAATAATAATAACTGCAGCAAATCAAAAAACAACAATGCACCTACTACAGATAGAAAACCTGCTCAATACCCACTGCACTGCTGTCCTATCCAAGAGTGTGGTAAGACGTTGGGAGTCGGTGACAAAATGTTGTGCCAGCCAAACAACAGCTTCCCGGGGAACAAACCCACGACCACCAACATCACCGCAGTGTGCTCGAGAAATAAGCCCAACGCGAACGAACCTTACGACGAGGAGAAGCATGGTGTACTGCATTGTCGAGAGATGCCCATCTGCCCTGGTAGCGGAAGAACACCCCACAACGCAGGCCCCGTTCTCGTCTGCCAGCCTCCGCCCAAGGACGCCAAGCCGAAGCCGGGCTACGGCACCTACAAGATCATCGGGAGCAAACAGTACCGCGAGGCGCCGGAACCTTTGATCGAGAATGAGACTAAACTCCCCCCACACCTGGAAGAATACAAAGAGTTCACGAGGCGCTGTCCGAACTATACGATCGGAAGGTACGATCGCTCCGACCCTGCCAATGAACTGATGCTTCCGTCCCACAAAGACGCCGTTTTGATTCGCGGCTCGAGATCCCCGTTTCTTTTTTGCAGGAATCCCAAAGCTGGGAAACTGCCACCGTTATTTAAGCACGTACAGACGCCGCCTCTGGATTGGTCTATACCCTCTTTTATCATGGACGAACTGCAACAACCACAAAAGAAGTAGATCTTAACCTTACCAGAGTAAAGAGGGCCCGTCCGCCTTTCCCGGAGTCATATGTACGTTGTACACACCTAAGTCATCAGAGGTGCAATGAAGTTTGGAGGTAAAAACTGAAGATGATGTCTTTGTACCAATATTTCTTCGCGGTTCACACCCCACAAAATTACATGTACTCTTCTCTAGCGTCGACTTCGGTCAGTACTTACAGCAGGACAGACGTCACCAACAAATACATTTTGCTGGATAGTATAGTATTAATATTATGTACATTCAGGGGAATAAGGAATTAGAAAGTGCACACTTCTTTCTTCCCCATACACCCCCAACTGTTTTATTGAACTCCAACATTTTTTTGAACAGTCGTCCCATGACTTTTCGTGTGAGGGGCATACCAAAAGTTTTTTTTTACCTGACTAGGAAGGAATAAAGCTAGAAAGTTTAAATTTGGTGCTAACCTTAGTCTTTCTATATGTAGTCACCTCCCACAGTTATGCATTTTTGCTATCGGTGTATGACCTTGAAAAGACCTTGAGAATAGAAGACCCTCTCTGTAAAAAAAACCCAGCCCTCTATCATTTCTTTGACCTCATCCTCACTTTCAAAATACCTCTCTTTTCAATTCTTTTTCAGTTTGGGGAATCCAAAAGTCGGATGGGGCTAAATCTGTAGAATAGAGTGGATGTGGCAAAATTTCAAGGCCACTTTCTCGCGTAGTTTCTGCAGCTTTCATTGAAATGTGTGCTGGCACGTTGTCGTGAAGCAGCAAAATGCCTTTTCGGATCTTTCCTCTGCGTTTTTCTTTCATAGTCTCTCGTAATTTTTTTAGCTGGTTAGAATAATGAATGTCCCCGGTGATCGTATGTCAATTTTCAAGATAGTCTGTCATAATCACTCCTTGGTCCAAAAAACTGATAGCATCCCTTTTTCTCTTGATGGCCGCACTTTTACCTTCTTTGGTGTTGGAGACGAAGACGATTTCCACTGCATTGACGCAGATTTTGACTCAGGATCGTAGTGGGGGACCCGTCTATTCCATGGTTACAGGTCTTTCAAAAAACTTACTTCCATCCTTTTCGTAAAGACCAAGTAATTATTGACAACAACAATCCCCACGTCGCACTTTTTGAGGAGGAGTCAACAAACGTGGGACCCATCTCGCAGAAACCTTGATCATATTCAAATGTTCATGTAAGATTCGTTCAATATCTCCAATGCTAAGCCTAATTTCTTTGCTCAAATGTTCGACTGTCACCCGCCTATCACACAACACAAATTTCTTGATTTTCAACACATTCCCTTCTGTTGTTGCTGTCACTGGGCGACCATCAGGGTGGTCATTTTCAATGTCCATGCATCCGCATTTAGATTTTTTACACCAAAATTTTATCACAGCAAAGGATGGGCAATCAGTTCCATATATACAGCATGCACCTCCGTTAAAATATCCTATAGTTGCTTGCCTTGCAAGAACAATAACTTCATTACTGCCCTGTGCTCAATTTTCTCCATCTTTATGTTGAAACTGGAGAACAACAAAGGCCTGTTCACTTACAGTAAGCTGGTCGTAAAACCAGTAATCGGAAATCCCCCCAAATTTACACACATTCTAGGAAGATAATTGTTGGCTTTCACCCCAACTTTCAGTTTCCTTTCTACTTTTATTCAGGTAAAAAAACCTTTTGGTATGCCCCTCGTACCTGAATATATTGCTACCATAAAATTACAAAGTTCTATCTGCTCAATACCTAGTTTGAGAGGTTCAAAACTTTGAGTCTCACAAAATGTCAAGCTTTTTCAAAAGCAATTTTGGAATACCTTGATAACGACTATGCATAGTCTTAAGATTCTGAAAGAAGAAACAAAATTTGGTATCTGACCTCATGGTCTTAGTAACTCAAAACGGCCAATAATGTTAGATAAAACTAAGTAATTCTAAGGTAGCGATATATATGTATTCGCCCCCCATCCGCAAAAAATCCACATGAAGTCAAAACAAACTTGTACACCTTGATGAAAATTTCCTGTACTTTTTATTCACAGAGGCAAAACTATACAGGAAAACAACACAAGCTAAAAGTATAAAAATGTTTACATAACATGGCTATTTCAATGACAGAACACGTATTTACATACCTATGTACAAGGGGTTAGAAAAAATATTTACAAGTAAAAGATTTCAAGTTCAAGTCCAATGCTGGTTCAGGGCCCCCAAATATTTGCATATAACGACAATACAGGCTTATACAATAAAACAAACACCAGTGGGAGAAACAACTTGTATTTCTCTCTCCAGTCTCAGAACTACACAGAAAAGTTAGTATGTGTGTAGATTCTACTCCTACACATGTACTACTCCATTCCCCTACCTATTGAAAAATCAATACAACTTCAACATTCTGAATTTTTTTGTTCTTTCAATCAAAGGGTCATCAACGTAAGACCCTAACAGGAAAGAAAAATAATGCCTCAATACAAGTGGATGATGCATATACGGCAACACAATATGAAATAGGAACGAAATTAAATGCAAAAAAACTTTTAAAAGTAATTGTTTCCAGTTGAAATAACAGTTCAACAAGTAATCCAGCAACGGCTAAAGTCTCAATTAGACCATCAAAATGAATTCAAAACCAAACGGAAAAAAACAGCAAAATAAGAATGCCTACCAGATCCCTGATGAAAGACAACAACAACAACTTTAGTAACAAACGGGCCACAAACAGAGTAAATTAAGGGTAACAAAGAGGAAACAGATCCAACTCAACGGGTGCAGTGAGAGTGCACGTTTAGCGCAGAGGTACAAGCTACGAGTACAAGTGTATTGTTAGTATAGCTGTCAGAGTGCGCTTGCAAACTACAGCACCTGACTAAAATTATTGAAAATTGTGAGCATGAGCAGGACAAAAGACTTTGTTGTGCCGTTGTTTTGTGGTCCCGACAGTCAAGTTGAACTTCGGATGAGTTGATTTTTTATCATTCCCCCGACAACATCAACTCATCCGTTGACTGTATCAGTCCATTACAACAATTGTCCTCAGCCAAGTAGCCTACTTATGTTTCAAGTCACATTTAAAAAACTCATGGATCAACAGGAACCCCCCCCCCCCCAAACAACAACAAACAAACAAGCAGACCCAAATATAAGCCACGACATATTTTACAATAAAAAGGGTCTGGTCTATGTTTGGGTCACAATGTACCAGTTGCAAGTAAATTTGGGCATACTGGGAAAGTTGAAGTGCGCATCTTGCACATGCAACCCCTAAGATTTTTCGCCCTTATCCGAGAAGGCTAGGTGTAAACCAAACATAATATTTCCTTTGTTTTCATGTTTCCTCTCTCTCTTTTGGAAAAAATAAATCAAGATAGTTCAAAATCTTGTTCAGTTTGGCACAAAACTGCTCGATTCAAAAGTAATGTGCTTGCTATTGGGACAATGTTGGTTTGACAACAGATTTTCAGAAATCCAGAACCAGTTTAATTTGCATTCCCAGAGGAAGCATTTCATAGATAGCAAAGGGTTTTCCTGATTATACAGTTTTACAACTTTTCTTTTTTGCCTTCATTCAAGCACAAGCTCTTTACCACACCAGGAACCAGTTAGTTATGGGAAAGTGATAAAACTTGAGTAAAAGAATTTTCAGTTGACAAAACTATTAACAGGTAATAAAATATTTGTGAGTCAGACTAAAACTGTGCTTTAAAAAGAATAATACAGAGACTTGAAAAAACAAAACAGCAATCCCAATATATATCGACAAATTAGTGTAAGATTGCCATACGCCATTTCGAAAAGTAAGCAGTCGATACATATAATATATATACATATGTACATGATCGTTAAAAGAAATTCCTTTAAAAAAAAGAACAAAAAAGCATAATAATGCAATAGCCTGTCTGTACTAGCGTATGTCTACTCATTTAAAGCAAGCATGATGTGAACCCCCCCCAAAAAAAAAGTAAGAATTAGTAACACAGTGGTAATAAATGCCCAGTAATTATTTCCAAAAGTCCAAACTCAAACTTTTGATAACAAGTACAGACAAGATCATTAAACACTAAAGCCACACTTTTTGCACACTTAAGCAATTGAAAACTGATCATATGAGCACAGTAATTAAATTAGAAAGCTCTTCTTTTCGTTTGTTTCTGCTGACGAAATTTTAATGGTCTATTCTGAATATTTGTGTGTGCCTGGAGAAAGGACCTAGTTGTTGGAAATTTTGCATATATATCAAAATAAAGGCATAATGTGGAAAGTAAATTCAATGCTGAACACGCTGATTCTTAAACTTTTCAAGTGTATTTTCAGCAGTTTTCACCATATGCCACATTTTGTAACCGAGGGTGTAAAAACAAAGTTTGGAGAAAAACCTGATTTCTAGCACATTTTCTTTTTAACTTTTGGTGAAGTAGGCTACATGTTGCAAACATAACTAATACAAAAATAAATATTTAGAAGTACAATATAAAATCCTTTCAATATGTTATCACGATATGGTTAAAAGTGTGATTTGTGATGGAACTACATTTTTGAGAGGGTACGACTTCGTTGGCCTTTCTCTAGGCACACACACATTTCAAGGACCAGTATTTGATATTAGCATACTCCAACTTTTGTTGGTTAACAAAATACTGAGAAACAGGTTGCAAAGCAGCCGGTAACACAGTACTACAAAATTCCTTGAAAACTCAAGACAAACCAATGCAAAATGTGCGTTGCAAACAAACGGCTACCTACACAGATGCAAATAATGTTTCAAGAGAGCCAAACATTTATTGGATTTAGTTGCCATTAACACAGGCAGAGTCGTCATAGTTTAAATTGATTATGACAGAAACAAGACAGCACATTCACTACGGAGGATTGACAATAAGGGACCTATCTTCAAAAAGCAACAGAGACAAGTGCACTTATTTTGTCTTTGATCTATCTCAATATAGTAAATAAGAAATATTTAATTACGTTCTCATCTCAGCTGAGTGAAAGAATCTACACAATAGTAAAATGGGCCAGCACGACAAGGAACACACATTGCTGTCATTGGTTGAGTGCTATTACCGATCCAGATAACTCTGTATCAAGGGAATTTGCAATAAAAACTCTACTGAATTAGTAGTTTTGTTTTCAGTAAAAAAAGAAAAGTGACAAGTTGCCCTGTTTCCCCATCGTACAAATCCAGTGAAAAAGGCCTACTTAGTTCAAAGAAAGCAGTGAATAAAGATAGACAGAATGGTAGCTGGGCTACTAAACAGGTAAGATACATAAAAGACAGTGCTGCAGTGCCAAGGAAAATGTTTAACTCTGCTTAACCCTGGTTAACAGGGTCCACTAAAAAAAATCAGACTGATTTTCTCAGCAACAGCAGCAATATAGGAATAAAAAGATGCAGGGAAACAGATCTGTGGAAGTATTACTTTAAAAACAGAAATGCCAATACTTATTACAAATAGGAACTTATTTTCCTGAGCTGGAATTTGCATAAAAAGTCTGTTTGGATGGCATTTTACAGAGGCAATGGAGCTTTTCTCCTTGATGCTGCCTGTGAAAACTAAAATGGAACAAGCTCTTTAGATAGAACAAAAGGAAAAACAAATATTGACCTTCACTGAGCCCTAAAGGTTCTATAAACTTGTCCTAGGAGTGTCCTCTTTCTCGCAAATAAGAAGAGAACAAAGGCAACCAGGTGAACAAGGATGATTTGCAATTGCACCCCTAGACTCAAATGACATCACTATTGTTGACAATTGTACATCAATTGCTCATTTTGGATTGTTACACCAAACAGTATTCGGCAAGACCTTTGGCAGTTCTCAGTTCCACAACAAAAAACACTTTTTGAAGATGTGACCAAAAGAGACTACAATTTCACTATGGAACTTTAGAAGTAAATTAAAAAAAACCCAAACAAGACTAAAGCCTCTGCAGACAACAACGACTGGAATTATGGAATAATATTTGTACACAGATAGGATAATTTGAGCAGAAAAATCTGAAATTTAACTTGTATCTAATAGTTAAAAAGCTATACACCAAGCCCATTCTCTCTCTAAACCCCCCCCCCCCCCAACAGTCAGTCCACACATGACTGAAAAGAAGAAAAGATCCACCCTTCACCAAAGTGTGTTCTATACAGGTTTAAAAATTTACTTTACAGACAGTTTACGGAATAAGAATAGGCACAAAATACTGCATTTTTCCTTTTGTATACAACAACCGTGGGAGGCACTCCTGCTCAGTGTAATAAATACACTCCTCTTTTTTCCAGTATTGACTTTGACCTGATCAGTAGCATTCGATACATAAATACATTTGTGTCGACATCTCAGATGTTATTCAACTCCGCAGACCACAAATCTAATATCTTTACAAACAATACCACAGACTATTATTACATTATAGATAAAAATCCAGTCACTCAATATGTATACGGCCATGAGGCCTAGCTGCCTAGTCAGGGCTAAGCCACAATTACATCGTGCGCTTGTTGGTAGAAAAGAATACTTGACATATGAAAATAAAAACTATACACAGGGTTTGCCTCAAGCAGCAATTAATAGCCACCTGTATGTAATGAGCTTCCACATTGCACAGGAGTAATACCGATACAGAATGTACAAAAGAATAGGTAACAACACTTATCATACATGGAAGCTTCATTACGCATACATTGTGGCTTATACTTATTAAAAAAAAAGGGATCTCAAGTACATTTTTTTCCTTTCAGAATTACTGAGATTTACAGTCCTAAAACTCCCATTCCAGAAAAATATAAATTGACGGTTGTGGGGTAAAACAAAAATTTGCTAAATGTATGAACATGCACATTTGTTTAAAAGGGAGTTATAAGTTTGAAACCGGACACTTATTCCCTAGGATCCAATAACCACTACAATTACTTAGTTGGCATTAAACAATGGTATTACTTTTTGGTGCTTTTTTAACAAATAGACATCAAAATCAACTTTTTTTATAGAACCAAAAAAATCCCCAAGTATTTTCCAGTTGCTATTAAAAGCCTAGCAACTAAAACCAAATGGAATACATAAAATGGAAAGTATAATAATTAAAAACATTACCAAATAAGTGCTCATAGCAGAGATTACAAAGAAATATATATATAAGAAACATTATGACGCAAAAATGAATATTTTTAACCTGTAGATCTATCCAAATTTTAACAGAGGACAGCCTACACTAAAAAAACCCAACTAATACAGCGAGCAGCAATTGATATTAGACCAGCCCATTATGCATTATCTTTGTAGTATTTGCCGACTAACCCGACATACTTCTAACATCTATTCCTTTTTAAAAATTTGAATAATTAACAGACAGCACCATCGAATAGGCAAAGTGTGACAACCAGCTCTGCTTTAAGCTTGACAGGTAACAAGAACTTATAAATTGGGAGGGGACAGAGAAGTAATGTGTTTCATTAAAAAACACAATATCTTTAGACTAAAAACCCCCAAAAACTTTAAGACCTTATCTGATAATATACAATACCACTATGGAAAATGATCAATTCAATGAATATTGTTTTTACCTCTTTCCATTTTCTAGCAAAGAGCTGTAGTAAATATCTTACACCCCCATCTTCCAGAATTTGAAGATTCTTTCTTTTATTAAAAATGTTTAAATGCTGTCATTTCTGAAATTGAACAAATATTTATTTCTTTTTACACTTTTGGTAGACTTTTCCATAAATGGAAGGCCAGTGGAGTGAGACACATGAAAATATATGCAAAAAAATAAACACAATCATAGCAATTTTCTACACATTAGTTGTCCAATATATACATTCAGCAACAATGAACAATGAAGAAAATGAATAACAAAACATTGCAAATAAAAGCTGGGAATGACAGTGTACATTGATACAAAGAGCAAACAGAACCAAACCCAAACCATTATCACATTGTTTCTTGAACTGAGTGCATTATGGAAATAATAACAATGATAGAAAGAATTCATACATGGATTGCAAATTCTTATTCAAACATTTTTTGTTTTACGTTTTTGTCTTTTTATGCATTTTTTGAGTTAAATTCTGAAAAGAAAAAAGGAAGGCATAGTGGTACTGATTATGGGTGTAATCAATAAAATAACTTTCCCTCTTTTTCAGACATTGGATAAAGTCATCCACAAACGAGGAGGCGAATTTCCAAGCACCTCATGTGACACGCCAACCATGACACGTACACAGCAGGGATATCTACGGAGTTCCATCTCTGAAATGATAATAAAAGAATAAAATAACAAACTGTCTGATATACATACTGTCACCCAAAAAAAAAGAGACTGAGAACAACTTACGTATAGAAACTTTAAGGTACATCATGGGAAATATTCAGAGCAAAAAATGCAAGGTATGGCAAAAATCATTTTTAACTGTACATCAAATTGGCAACTTCAGTGTATTGAGAATTAATCTGATGCGATACTTTTACCAATAACATATTTTTAAAACACGCTTTCAACCGTTTTAGAAGTTACCCCTCTAAAATTACCTGAAAATTTTAGAAGTAAAGAAAACTTTTGCTTTGTTGATCGATTAATTTTTTTCCCCTGACAGCCAAAACAAATGTAGTACTGCTAGGAGTTGTTCCCTTCAGCGGAGTTCAAACTGAAATTTCATAGAGTCAAAAACACAGCCTACAGTTTATTTACAGCTCCAACGGTTTTCCCACCAGCACAGACCCATTTGATCCCAGGATGCAACTTCTGCATGTTTTGACACTCGCGCACAACACATCTCCGGGTTTTCATAAGCTACTGTCACTTGAAAAAGGGGAAGAATAACTGTAATTCTTCAGTTCTCAGCTTTGACACTGCTTGAACTGATATACTGAGCAGGTAAGAGTACATTCCATTCTCTGGTATTTTATTTTGAACTTGTATAAATAGTATAATACGATCATAAGTTTTAATATCAGCAGCTCGCTGACCTCTAGTCTCCGTCTGTAGCGTAGTGCCTCAGTTAGTAAGTTAGTCTCGTACAGTAGTCTCCGCCTACGATCCCGATGCTCGGGAGCAAAGAAAATATGGGACCCTAGGCAAATGGTATCTTAGTAGACGCACCACGGAAAAAATCTACTGTGACCCATGTTAACGCCTTCAAACGGTAAAATGGTCTCCATTCACTCGTAAATAAACTGACGTGACCCCAGGGTGGGTTTATGGTATATGGCGAGCAAAGAGTGGTCAACTTTGATGACCAATTGCAGTGGCATGAGGCATGCCATTTTCACTTATTATCCTATTGTGAGTCTCAAAATCCATGTTTATCCAGACGTCCCTCCCCTTTACCTGTTCAAGATTGATAGCTTTCCATCTCTGAGTTCCCCCGCCTTTGTCACACCATTGCTTTGTGACCATTCCAATAAAAATTCAGTCTGTCTCACAAATTTGGGAGTGGAGACAACTGTTGCAATGGTCAAGGAAGAGTTTATAGTTCCATGTGATCCCACCTGAAGCAAACTTGTAGACCCTACCCACCCAACGTGTAATGTAAGTTTAGGCGGAGAGCTCAGATGCCAGAGCGACGTTTGGGGAAAACAAATTTGTCGGCGAGTTAACGGTTGTGTGCGATCCTGTCTGAGGCAAACATTGTACCATTTCATCGAGTTTTATAACGCTTATGTGATCACATTCACCAGAGTGGCTTATCTTTGCCTCAACGTTACACTCTTGGTCGATTGGCTGTGCTGCCCAGGTTTTTGTTCCTTAAATTATGATCTGAAATGCGAGATCTTAGCCGAATGTAGACCTTCAGAGTCGGATCTTAGGGGTGACTTTTGTATAGTAAAAATTCTGTTTTCTTAAAACAAAAGGATCTTAAGCAAACCAGAAACGGTGGGATCTTAGGCGGAGACTACTGTAATACTAAAATTAGGATTAGGAACGCCACTTGGGCTGGCTTGTTTTACGAAAAGCATTGGTAATATTTAGTAGTTCATTTCATGAGCTGAATGTTGGCATTACTTTAGTTTAAGAACTGCTGAAGAGTATTAGCAATTTTTGGAATGGAAGAGTGTCAATTTTGAGAACAACCAGTCACAGAGCAAAAACTAAGCTGTGAGTTTGTGAACCACTTGCAAAGCCACATGAGCTTTGACTTATTATCAATTGACTGACTCAGTTATAACTCAAGTGGAGGAATTCTTTTTTATTTGGCCTGACTGTGTAAAAATGAATTTTCTGTAATCCTAGAGAGGCTTTAAAAAAAAAAATCTACCACCAATTTTGAAAAATGTTGTTTTGAATGTATCAGTTGATGCAAAAATTAATAGAGTTAAACAACAACTATTAAGCTATCCTCAATATCTCTTTAGAGGTTTCAACTATTAAAAAAAAGCACCACTAGGATCACAGATTTTATTGTTAGTAGGCTCATGTAAAAGTATGAGCACTTTAGTCAAAAAAACGAATGAGAGAGAGCTTGGCAGAATTGAATTAAAATTGCTTCTGTACACTGAAAACATGGACATTTTTCAAACTCCTTAAAAAATGATTATATTTTACCAGTTGACTTTCATTTTGAACTCCTAGAGTGCTTTTTTACGACCACTCTGACTGCTGCTGGAATGTATTGATATAAAAGTTATAAATATTAACAGCTACCTACCCTTAAAGAGATGCAAAAAGACAAAAAAACAGCAATGACCTCATCAACCACTGGAAGGAACTATCAGGGTTTTGGAAGTTTTGATTGTGAAATATTCTATTCAAGTTTTGAAGTGTTCCAACTCTTGATCTCAGGAAAAAGTAAAATATTTTTCAACCATATCAAGTACAAAAGTACCTTTAAAAAGCATTTAAACAGATAAGACTCAATGACAAGGAATAATGTGTAAAACATCTTTCATTGAAAAACATTGAAAATGTAGGGACCATGAGGTGGTCATCATGGAGGAAGCTGCTTGTTGACCTATATTTCTGACTTACATTTCTTTTCATCTTCATGGCTCTTCCACATACTGAAGAATTCTTGATGTGACAGTAGCATTCTCTGTAATTCTCATTACTTTCTGGTGTGGCCCTATCGACTTGATTTTGTGACTTTGACGTTAGAGGAAAATTCTTTTTGCAAGGCTACCAACTCAAAGCATTGACAAACTCCACATTTACAAGACATATTACTTGTCTCTGAAAGAAAACAATGCACATACCCTGCAAACATGAGATCATCATTGCCATCGTAAGAGAAGTCCATGTCACCATCCATTTCCATGGTGTCTTTTCTGTACACATTATGATGAAAGAACATAGAATGGGAAATTCAAAAAGCTGAAAGATGAAAAACAAATTTCAAATCTTCCTAACCTGTGATCCCAGCACTGATGCATGGAGATCGCTTAAGACAAAAAAAAGACCAGAACAAATCCCATTTCCAATTAAAAAAGAATAAGACAATAGTGACTTTGAACTTTCAGTTTAAATGATTATTAACACCAAGGAAAAGCAATGTTACAAAAAAAACGACAATTAAAACCTATGTAAGTCAGGTGTGTGTATGTGTGTGTTTGTATGTGTGTGTGTGTGTGTGTGTGTGTGTGTGTGTGTGTGTGTGTGGTTCCAGGCTTCACTACAATTTTCGTATAATTTTATTAAATTTCATAACCAGTTCAAGCATGACCTACTTTTCAAGACTTTCAAAGTTCTATATGTAAAAAAATTATAATGCAAAGATTTAGCCAACGCTCTTATCCGTTCAAATTTGAATGACACTGGCATCCAAAATCAAAGATACATTCAGCTCCAGCATTGTAAATTCCAGTCAGGGTATATGCAGTTTAAAGACGGGATGAAGTTGCTTCAAAACTCTGGCAATTCAAATAAGAGATAAACAAATGAAAAATGTTAAGATGAGACTTGGCCACAGTCGTCAGATCTTCACTTTTTTTTTCATCAAGTAACATTCTTTTAACAGCAAATCTCACCTTTTTGCCCTGCAGGAAAAGAAAACAATTCTTTTTAGCTTCACGTTGTAGAAGAAATAGTTGAAGGACCAAATGCAGCCCTCCTCACTGAAGGGGTCTGATGACATGTCTGGGTTGTAGCTGGTGGGAAAAAAAATTTTAATGCATAAAATTTCGGAAAATTATGCTTTTCAAAGCAATTGAAGTAAGAGTACCACCAAAGTGGTTTTTGCCTCCATCCATCTCAGAAAAAAAGACAATGGAAATTAAGCTCCATTCCCACATATCTTTAGGACCTTCTATTTGAAAATTCATCCAATATACTAGGAATACATTAAGTGCTAAAAGTAAGGCCTGCTGTGCCAAAGGAGTTTAAGATATCTTAGTTTAGTTTTAGTAGAGTTTTACCGACTTGCAACACAATAAAGTCATATATGAGCCAAATTAAAATATTTACAATATATCAGTGTAACAAAAAACTAAAAAAATATAACGACAGTAGCAAAGTAAAATGACTTTGCCTTTATAAGTAGCCAGCATGAACTCATATTATCAGGCAAGCAGTTGAAACTAAACTTTACCCATCATTCTTGAGCAGACTATTACATAACCCGACCTCTTTCTTCTCTATGAGACTTCCAAATGCGTCCTAACTGTTGTATCATGTGACCAATGAAAAGCTTACCTGTAAATATAACAGTCCTTCAGGCAAATTTCATCATCCAATGAAGACCACAGCTGTTGCTTGAACGCTCCATACTTGTCTCCAGCAGCTGCCATCAAGGCAGAGTTCACATTTTGGACTACCCACTGACAAAAAAAATCAAGACAAATGATCAAGAAGAATGTGATGAACAAGAACAGTACAATGCACAAAACAAATACAGTTGTTGACAAATCAGCAAGCCATTTATTCTTAACATGCTTTAGTCTGAAGCATCATAATATGATAAAACAGGCATTAATTTTTGCACATTCTTAACATAACATTTTATTACAAAAGACCTTAAAAGGTTCAATGGTAGAGCTTATATGGTGAACCTGCATGGTGACTTTCACATTTTCATGGTAGGGAAACAAATTCAACAACAATATTAAGTAAAAGAAGGAGAAGACCAATGAGTATCCAGTCATTGTCAGCTTTAAAAAAGCCCAGTAAAATAAAAAGTTTACTTGTACAAGTCAAAACAATACACTTCAAGTACGTTGATCTTGATCAATAAAACAAAACAAATGAAAGTGCATCTTAGAGACGTTCGAATACACTGCAATTAAAAATTAACATGATTGGACACTGGGCAAAGCATTGGGGACGAGAATGCAATTAAAACCCACCTCTAAGCTTGTTTCTCTGCTGAATTCAGCACTCTTTGCAGCACTGAAATCATAGTCTGGATTGAAAGATGCATTGAGGGTGGAGATAAGGTAGAAGAGTGTCTTTGTAGAAATCGTGTCACAAAGTATGCCGCCCTCTTCATGACTCCCAACAGCATGGGTGTAAGGTCTGAAAATTACCAGGGGAAAAAAAATGTGTTTGATAAATTACATTGCCTGCTGGTCACTAGACAATCCCTTGGACCTGGCCAGACAGTCAATGTGTACTCCTTTGTCTGGCCCCTCCCCCAAAGGACCTGTCCAGCTTGGTTGAACCTGCCAGGAGCACAAGGCCCCCGCTGGCATAGCTCCTGGGATCGTAAGGGCACGCAAGCCACTCCGCCACAGCAAGGCGCGTACACAGGAAGTGGTAGTTTACACACTCTGCACACAGGAAATAGGTGAAATCCTGCTATGTACACATAAAATACAGATTTAAAAAATACTGATTATTTGTATGACATAATAAAACTTCTTTCTAGTATTGACACCCACTGGCAGAGAGTAAAAATTCTCCAAAAAAGTCTAAAATATATTCAGACACACTACTTTTATGAGAACAAAAAGAAACATGTTAAGGACAAGACCATCAAGGTAAAGAGTAAATTGAAATAAATACCCCCTGTTATGTACCACTTTAAACTCACTCGGTTCCTATAGGGCTGGTGGATGATGCATATCCAAAGGCAACTGATGGTGACAAAGCTTGTAGACCACCAGGTGCTTCGCGATTCTCCTCATTCATTGTCTTGAACAGGCGCTTGTCATTACCTGCCATTTTGCAGGAGTAACTCTCAAGCCTGTAGGAAAATACCCAAAAGTGGATTTATCTAAGGTCACTGAAATAAACTTTTCATTCACAATATAAAAGAAACAGTACCAGTACACAAGATTCACCAAAATCAGTTGACAAAAAGTTGCACACAGTAAAAAACCAAAAAAATCAGAGATATCAAGGCACTTGCAAAAAAAAAAAAAAAAAAAAAAAAATCCTATACACACACGTTTTTAACTTTGTTTTGAACAGGACATCCTGAATACAAAAAAAGAATATACAAGAATACCATAAAAGAATATATTTAATACTTATTGAAGAATCTAGAAGCTTTCTAAGACAAAAGCTCACTGTGTCATATATATATATACACATAATGTGTACATATGTAAACACATGTACATGTGCCAGTTTGTGTATAACATACATGTGTGCATGTGTGTTTCTCTCTCTCTCTCTTTATTAGAGAGAGAGAGGGAGAGACAGTGTACATATGTGTGTTAGGTGTGTGTTATGTGTGTCCTCTACAACGATTATAATATTGTCTGCAGCAACTATTGGGGAAGAGTATCATGCTTCACCCATGTTGCCGTCATTTTTTCCTTTTAATTCCTCACAGTGAAAATATGAACAAAATAGGGAAGCCCCAGATTATATAAAGTGTACAATATCTCTGGTTTTAGCTCAAATAAAAATATATGCTTGAACTTGGTGTTTGTTACCATTACTTTTCATTTTTGTTCATTGTGTATAAATGTGTGCTGGAATTGGCCTATCTTGCCAAACAAAGAAAAGCTGCACTTGCTGTTTCTGCCATCCCTCTCTGTTATTTATGCTCTATCCTGTTGTATTTGTATCCAGGTTCACATAAAATTTTGAACCCAAATAATGGAACACACCCGTATTGTTTCCCCACAGACAACTGTGAACCCAAATAATGCAACACAACCATCCGTTTTACTCTACCCAAGTTCATAGTCATAGACACCTTGTGTAGATGCGTGACTACTCGATCTGACTCCAAGGTCAAGGTCAAGGCCAAAGATGACCTTTTGCATGGGGGCTCTCGTGACCTAGAGGTTAAGGTGTTCGCCTCTCATTCAATATGTCACCAGTTCGAATCTGGATAGTGACAGAAAATTTCAGATAAGAAAATTCCTGCTCTCTAAAGTCTATGTTCTGTCATCTGCTTTCGTCTCCACTTTCTGCCCCCCCCCCCCTTTGCCCCATCCTCTGGGCTCCTGACTCTTTCTGCAGCCTTTCTACTACTTCTCCTTGGCTCCTTCTTACAGTTGACTTTCAGCCACAACCCTGATATTATGGTAGGTAGCCTTCTTAGACAAGAGCGAACAATCTCGGAGGTCCCGTGTGCAAGTTGCGCATGATGTTAAAGATCCCTTGGGGGGCTCTCGTGGCCTAGAGGTTAAGGTGTTGGCCTCTCATTCAAAGGTCCCGGGTTCGAATCCGGGTAGCGACCAAAAATTTTCTTCTCTAAAGTTGTCTCCTTTCACCTCCTTTCCTGCTCTCTAGTAATGTTCTGTTGTCTGCTTTCATTTCCACTTTCTGCCCCCACCCCCTCACCTCCTTTGCCCCCTCCTCTGGGCTCCTGACTCTTTCTGCAGCCTTTCTACTTCTACTCCTTGGCTCCTCCTTACTGCTGTCTTTCTGCCACACCCCTGATCTTCTGGTAGGAAAGATCTACACATAGCCTGCTCGGACAAGGGCGAAAAATCTCGGAGGGCCCGTGTGCAAGATGTGCACATTAAAGATCCCTTGGAGGTCTAAAATCGGTAAGAGTAGGCTTCGGCCGACCCTGGGCAAAATTCAAAATTTCCTACCAACTGAAAATATTAGGTGTGTCCCGCGCGCTCATATGACCTTATGCAGTTGCGAGCGCCGTAAAACACTTTACAAAAACAAACAAACAAAAGATCCCTTGGTGGTCCAAAATCGATAAGAGTAGGTTTCTGCCACCCAGGCAAAATAAAAAATTTCCTAACTGAAAAACTTTTATAAATGTGTCCCGCGCCCTCATACGACCATATATGCAGTTGCAAACGCCGTAAAACACTAACCCCCAAATCATCACAACTGTTCGTCATATCTCAATGAGTATGTGTATGAATAGATATAAATGGCTTTCCATTTATGGTATTTGCAAATAAATGTCCGTTATTTTGCTTAAAGAACCAACCCCAAATTTTCAACCTTTTCATTTACATGCATTTTTCTTCCAGCGTTTTTAAGCACACTACACTAGATCTTATGAACAAATTATGAATAAATGGATGGGGTTGGGGCTGAGAAATTTCTGGTTAGAATTGTTTTCAATCTTCAATGAAATATATTGATACGGCTGTGCCATCTTAAATTTTTCAAATCCAGACCAAAAATAATGGGAAACAGGCCACAGAATGGTCTTGTTGTGGTAATTGCTTTCATTCTGTCCATAACACACAAAACGCGGGGAAAGAATGAAAGAAGTCAAGGTCATAAAGGGAGCGAAGCAGTCACCTGGCTTACCGTGCACCAAGCTCAAGGGCCACCCGAAACTAAGTAGCCTACCCCATGTATAGATACACTGAGTACTGAGACTACGTCCCCGGTTATTGTGTAAGTAGACACTCCCTTTTACTTTTGATTAGCCTATAATATAAAAAAAAAAGGTAAAGAATAATAAAGGCAAAGGGCATTTGTGTTGTCACATCGATCATCCCATTTATGTGGAACAGATTACCCATAGAACTAAAACAAACAGAAACTAGAAACACTGAGTTAGCTTCAAAAGACATCTTTTATAAAAAGCATTTTCTGTCGGAAGAGGATAGCCTTACTTAATGACGACTAGACTGCTAGTCAGCTGGGTTAGCCGTACTTATTTTTAATATGATGCAGTAGCGAAGCGTCTATATAATCAAATAATCACTGCTTCCCTTCCGAATTTTGAAAATTTGCCACTGTCAAATTCACCCATAGACGTAAACCTCATAAATTAAAGGTAAAAAGACGCTCATGAACAGTATGCTTAACACTCAAAACGGTTTCATTGCCACAGAAATAGCCTGTTCACCCATATCGTGCCACTCCATAATAAGCAGTCTCAAGTTTTGATTAATAAGGTTACCATGAGGCTGGAAGAATTCACCAAAAGAGTTGAAGGGAACATATGTGTGCAACAGTCAAAATTGTTTCATTGCCACACATATACCCTGTTCACCCCTTTCGGGCCACAGTTATAAGCAGTTGCAAGCACTGATTATGTAATTGAACTATTACAATAGTCGAGTCTACCTCATAGATGTGAGGGGAATCAACTCTTAATAATAATATCTTGACTACTGTGAGTGCTTGTTTTTTCTCCTCGACTTTTTACGTCCTATAATCAGATCGTGATCTCGATTATATTATGACACCTGCTCCTGGCCGCGAAACGCTAGACAAAAACAGCCATTTTTAAAAATCTCTAGCTCTAAAAAATTAAATTTTATACAAAAAATGCTCTTTCCCAGTCCTCACAGAATGAAAGATGACGACTAAATTCTAAATCTTGCAAACAACGGCCACCTCTATTCTCACCCGGAGTGAGAATAGTGCAGGCGAGTCTTGTGGCTATTCTCACCCGGTGCGCGTTCACCAAATATTGCGTTCACCCTAAACCACAGAATTCTACACTGTGATAACAGAAAAATTGTAGAATTCTGTGCTGTGAACAAACGTTCCATTACAACTGTAGCCTACTAAAAGCGTACAATTTTGTCTGTGGGCAGTGGAGAGAGAGAGAGAAAGAGAGAGAGGAGTAGCGCGAGAATTTCCGGGCAAAACAAAATGGCGACCCGCGTAGTTCGGCTCGATTCGAAAAGTTAAATAGCCGTAGCATCTTTGTAGACAACCAAATTAATTTACTTTTGTGTTTTAACATCATTTTAAAACTTTGTTTTGGTCAATTTGATCGTCCACACCGATAGACAGTATTCAGAAAGAGACAGAGAGAGAGAGAAGAGGGGAGGAGTTGATCTTGCGAGAACTTCCGGGCGGGTGAGAATAGCCACTTTCCAAACAACCAAAAAATCTAGAGAACGGAAATCGGGTAAATTTTTACTTTCACTCCTGCACACAGAGATGCACTGTTTCAGGGGTCAAACTGCAGTACTCTTTGCTGCAGATCACACATAAAGCCACTAAAACTGTCGCAAATCAATTATTTTCAAGACAATTTCAAATCTAACTGTAAAATATCAAATTATGGGTAAAAACCCCCTAGATTTTCTTTTATCCCAGTGGGGCAGGCCCCCCTGGAACCCCCCGATTGGTCCAAAGCACGTCTATCTCGGTTAAAAACAATCAAATTTTTCAAAAACTAATAATTTGCGACGGAAATGAAGTTGATATTCAATATTCATGTTCTGCGCATCAATATTTAGTAGAAAATAGACAACTGGTAGCTGAGTGTGAGACAGGAGGGAAAGTAAAAAAATACCGGAAATCGTTCAGAGAAATAGACTTTATGGAGTACAAATTTATTTCGAAGTGACTATTTCTCCGAACGTTCGGAGAAATAGTGCCGATCTTTATTTCTCCGAACGGTTTTCGGCTTCCGGTCTCGTGATTTTTTGCCTATTTATTGCGAGAGTTCGGCGCCAACTTTCATTCTGCCTCTGCCTCTGGTCTGGGAAGGAACACGTACCGCATGGCAAGCCCGCCTACAGACAACCTTCAGTAACACCCACCACACACCCACCACCATCATGCACATGTACACACACTAACTAAACATAACTAGTGGGCAACTTTTGAACGTATGACGAGCTGAACTGTGGATGGAGAGACAGTGTGAGTGAAAGAGCGGGTGAAAGGAAGAATGTGCGAGTGTATCCACAGGCGACAGCAACTAAAAGACGACGACACTGACCACCCCTGGCCTGGTCCACAGCTCACGAACAAAAGGAATGCAGCTCAGGCGGTGTTTTGCCTATATTATTGTCCATGGTTCGCAGGGAACAAGTGAGATTTTCTTTGTGTGTGCCTGGAGGGATGGGGTGGGGTATGAAAGTCATGCGGACGGGGATGAGCCGCGGGAGAGAACACGGGAATTGAATGAAAGAGTGAAACTGAAAGAGACGAATGACTCATGAGTCCTGGAGTGAATGGATCCTGTGTTTCTATTTTTGTATACTTTGAACTGTTACTGAATAAAGGCTGAAATAAAGCCCGAAAAACAAACAAACACACACACACACTCCTCACTCTCCACTTACTACCACACACAGACACACTCAAACACTCACACATACATACACACACACACACACACACACACAGGAGCAAATTTTTGGGTCTAGATTCTATATCTATTTAAATTTTCAACAGCTAGTCTAGATGAGATTTTTAGATGAGTGTAAAAACGTGAAAAAGAAAGGTTTCATAACAGAAAGAAATCAAAATTAGAACAGCCCATAAACAACAACAAACATTAACAAATAAGGGCGTGTGTCCACCTGTCCGAAGAAGATTGGCAGTTTTAACCCTAAATGTGCGTAATTTATAAAAAAAAGTACAGGATATTACATGTAAATTATGGAATCACACACATTAAGGGGCTTGCCAGTGTCAGTACATTGGTCGCAGCAGTGACAAACGCAGATGCCAGTTCTATGTGTAGTTATCAATAACCCTCCGTAGATCTAGATCTAGACAGCACACGAGTGAACACAACACATTACGTTTAAAAGCAGCACCTTTCATAGGCAACACGTCATATCTATAGCGAAAAACTGTTTGGAATTGTAGCATTTCTTTATATAAATATTTACGGCGGACATTTTTTGGACCGATTGAACCATATTGTATACGAACAATCTTTGGTAGGCCCATACTATAATTATAGATCTATATAATATCCGAAATTTGGGGGAAAGGATGATATTTCAGAGTGTTCGGAGAAATAGTGCCCAGCTTTATTTTCCCGAACGTTCGGAGAAATAGTGCCCAGCTTTATTTTCCCGAACGTTCGGAGAAATAGTGCCGGCCTTCGTTATTAGTATCCCACTTACCTTCCTTCAATGTATGTGTTACAGTTGTCCAAATCCATACAGAGTGCTGAATTGATCGCCTCAAGCTTTGCATTTTCTAGAAGCTTCATGATGAAATTTAGAATGTACTGCAACCCTGAATAAAAGTGAACCAGGCTTTTATATGTGGGGCAGGTGGCTGAGGTGGTGCTTGGGTGTTCACAAAATTGCTGTCCGAGTCCTTTGAGTGTCTGAGCAACGATGGAATGAATTTTCGATGTTACACACCACTCACTAAATTTAAATTACCAGAAATAAAAGGCACGGCGAGAATACTCTCAACAACTAGAATCTAACTGTAAACAGAAAGGCAAAAGTGTATCTGCTACAAAGTCAAGTAGATCTTGACAAGCTCATCTAATAATCATAGAAGGTTAAATGTCTTAGAGCAAATATAATACACTAAAATCGGTACTCTCAAGCAAAATATTAAAAAAAAACAAATCTGTGTAATAGTCTAGATTAGTAACTGTATGAAATAGGAGTTGAAGAGTTGAAAGCTGAAGTAGCAGTCCGTCAGCAGTTCATGAAATGCGAATGTGATTTTTCGTTGATGGTAACTGAGGGTTCACAGACTCACAGGAAATATTCAGATCTTTGAAGAGTGGCGAATAAAGCTCAAGATTCTAGATCTAGATAATAGATGTAGGCTACTGTGTGTCTTTCGTCGTCAGTTATGTTCAGAATCAACAAACAAGATCCCTTTTTTTTCTTTACAAAGAAGGACACGGAATACTCCGCGGAAGATTTAAAACACTGCAACTTGACTTTCGAAACGATTTAGGGTGGGCAAAAAAAAGTCTGTGCTTGGCAGAATCTTGAATAATGTCACACGAGAACACTTCATCTTCCCACTGAAGGCGTTTGAAATCCTGATCTCCTTCCATTTCCAAGCAAACAGCAAATTGTGAAATCAGCTGATTTTCAAGAGTTCACAACAATATCACTACTGATCACAACAAAGCCCAAGATAAACACGAAGAAAAGTGTTCACCCTTCAAACTCACATCAACTAGAATACTTCCTTCCACACACTAATTGTCTTAGAGCACAAATGTGAATGGTATCCTGTTGAAAATCTCTTAATATATAACTCAAAATGAATCATGAAACAAGGAAGAATTTTACAACCGAATATTTGTGTCAGCCATTTGTAAATAACATTCCCATCATCCCTTGCACGATTCTAAATATAGTAACGAATTTGCTTATTTGGGTCACCAATGAAGTCAGCAACTAAGAATACGGAAGTTGTAACTGAACACCTTTATTTGCCAAGTAAGCTTTCGAAGGAAAACTCAAGGTTTTCCCAGCTGGTTTTCCTCAACTTGTTAAGCCTGCTCAAGTTACCACCCCCTACCCCTTTTCCATACACCCAAATTTCCTCTGTAGCCTATGGATTTGTGCATGCTCACAAGTCGTAGTAGGGTTAATATTTTAGAAAAATGCAGCTTCAACAACTTTATGCATACTGCTACTCTCGTTTTATGTCATGTGCGGCTTCAGGAAAACGTAAAAAAAGAGAAGAAAAGAAAAGAAACTTTCACAGACCAAATAGAACACCCCAAAAAACGAAACAACCCCCCCCCCCCCCCCCAACAAAACTAACAACCCAACACCACCCCCCCTCCATGAAAAGAAAATGTTTCCTGTGCTGCTACAATGATGTGAAAATTAGCTGCCTTTGATTTTAAACAATTCTAAACAACCGGTGACCAAAGAAACTATAATCAATGATCTTTAAGTTACTGCAAGGGCTAGACTATAATATCACCTCAAAGAGTTACGTTGGGACGAAAATCTGCACACTGCACAAAATGGCAGCTCACTGAGCTTGAAAACGAAAGTCCTTGCATCTGTCTAACCTTGCTATGGCAGTTCACTATAAGAACATCATAGCAAATGAGGTACGTTTGCACTTTATTTGTGCACCCTGAAAATGTATTACGTGGTATTTTAAGTTCTAAGTGCCGAGAAGGCTAGGTGTAGATCTAGATCTAGATCTTATCCAGATCTTTCCTATCAGAAGATCAGGGGTGTGTAGTGTAGTACGACGGTAGTGTCGGTAGTGAAGTAGTCGATCTAGATCTAGATCTATATAGATCTAGATCTAGATCTAGTAGGCAAAGACAAGGAAAAAGTGAAAGGCTGCAGGAAGAGTCAGCAGCCCAGAGGAGGGGGCAAAGGAGGTGGGGGGTGGGGCAGAAAAGGGAGACGAAAGCAGACGACAGAACACAAGTTGGCCGTCGTTATTCGGACTCGAGTCCGAATAACATTTTTTCATTCGGACTCGATTATTCCGGAAAAAAGGAAGTGTCTTCGTTCTATAGATCTAACGTTCAGTGCTTCCAATTTTCCGCCATTTTTTAGTTTCCCCCACACCTTATCTGCCGATCCAATGCCCGCCTCCTCATTGATACGCCTCCCCCCCCCCCCCCCCCCCGTTTCCCACTTTCTTTGTTGTTGAAAAAGGTAAAATTGAGATTAGCAGACCACCTGGCATATTATGAGCTGTGTAAAAAAAAAAAAAGACCGATTCGTTCAAATACACAAGCCTGTGTCATATCGATTGTTTACCAAGAAAAAGTTGTGTTGTGTGTATAGCTGAACCGGCGCCTTATTTCCCCTTGCCCCCCGGCAAAATCTCTACGGGGAGTTTTCGTTCGCCCCGGTTATTATTGTAATAATGATCAGTTGCCGGGGGGAAAAAGACCGAGGCTTATGCGACGTTCAAAGCCCGGACCAAAAGGGCCCCCCCCCCCCCCACCACCCTCCCCGACACGCACACAGCCACACGTGTGCAGGCCACCCATCCGACCCCGACGCATGCTAACAAGCCATCTTTAATTGCTTCTGATGACCTCTTGATAAATAAACATTTATTAGAAGCGCTATAACTTTTCAGGCCGGCCTCAAATTCATCGTAAGATTAAAACTCGGCTCCTGCACAAAACGCCTTTTTGCCCGAAGTGATCCCGGTCTCTACCCAGCCTGAGGCGAGTCACGAGTGAGGCAGGACAGGAAGCCGGATTCACGAGTCACAGGAAGTCGGAAGTGATGTCATGCTGGACAAGAATCAGAGTCCGAATAACATTTTTTCATATTCGGACTCGAGTCCGAATAATCACTTCATAGAAGAATACCGGACCAGCGGACTGACTTTGCCTGTGTCTCAACCAATCTTAGGCCTTAGGAATTCATGTGATTTTCCCCAGTTTTTAATATCTCTCAATTGTGAATTCGGACCGGTAAATCTATTCATTACAATTTTTTAGACCCCCCACCACCTCCTCCACCCCAACCACCCGCCCCACCCATCCCACCCACCCCACCCACCCCACATTCTCGCGAAATGTAATGTATTGTCCGGTATTCTTCAATCTTCCCCAGAACATTGCTAGATATCTAGAGATCAGGAAAGGAGGTGAAAGGAGACAAATATAGAGAAGAAAATTTTTCGGTCGCTATCCGGATTCGAACCCGGGACCTTTGAATGAAAGGCCAACACCTTAACCTCTAGGTCACGAGAGCCCCCTAAGGATGTCTGGCTGCTCGGTAGATGAGAGATTTATTTTTCGAACAACAAAGGGCAGATGAGGTTGCTATAAATCCAAACGAAGTAGCTTTTCGGACTTGAGTCTGAATAGCCTCCCATGGCTATTATAATTCGGACTCAAGCTCCAATGCACGTTACTTTGAATGACTGACTTTTCTTCCCTTTGGAAGGGTTTTAACTTTTGTCTTCTTAATTTCTAACTTGACTTCCAATTGATCAATGATTTTGTCTTTCTCGTCAAATATGAGACTACCTCCTTTGTATTGTTGTTCTGAAACTTTGATTTTCAATTTTTTTCCACTGCTTTGTTGCTCAGATTGCCATTTCCCTGTTTACCTTTGTTGTGTAGTATTTCAGATGATTTTGCAACTGTTGTTCACTTTTGATGTCACTTGATTATTATACTGTTCTTAATTTGTGTCGAAAATTTTGACCAGAATGTAAAACCCGAGGAAGGCCAAGGTCATAATAATATTTCCTGTCCGCTTCACGTCTGGTACATGCATTGGAGTTTGAGTCCGAATAGGCATGGGAGGCTATTCAGACTCGAGTCCGAATAGCCATGGGGGGCTATTCAGACTCGAGTCCAAATAGCCGCTGCCAAATCCAAAATGGCCGCCAGAAAACTCGTGCATTGTCTCCTCCAGCAGCTACGGGACTTATGAGGATTTTCCTCTGGAGGTCGATGATAGGGCCAAAACCCGTCTCATAAAAGCTTAAACTTTACTGAAACGGAAAGCAGAAAACCCCTTTCAGATACGGTAAGTAAATTCAATGACCTTGGCAGCATTATATCCACAACTGCAGACTGCCTTGACGACATACACCAAAGACTTAAAAATACATTGATTGTTTGTGCTTTTGTGAAATTTAAAACTCTATAGAAGTCAAAGATCATTTCATTGAAGACGAAATTAAAGAATATGATAATAGCAATATTTTGGCCGCTTTGACGCATGGTTCTGAGATATGGAAAACAAACAAAACAATTCAACGAAAATTAAAAAGCTTCCAAACAAAATGTTTACGAGGAATTTTACAAATAAAAAGGAATTAATTTATTACAAATAATGAAGTGTTAGAGAGAGCTGGAATTGAAGATATCAACACAATCATAAAACGGAGAAGAGGGAGATATCAAGGACTTTTTCTAAGAATGCTCTATGGCAGTCTCTCAGAGTTGAAGCGAACTGCACAGTTTGTGTGCGACATCGGACTGACTGTCTAGCTGCTGTCATCGAGAACAAGGAAGAAGAAGAAAGTTCTAAGAATGCCTCAAACGAGATTGCCCTATCCGACATGGTATTGGAAACCGACTGGAAAAAGAAAACGAGGAAGACCAACTGCTAGCTATAGAGGCACTATTTAAGGGATGAGGTAATCACCCAGGGCCTGGATTTGCCGAAATTGGAGGACGTGGTCAAGGACAGGCAAGCGTGGTGTTGACTGCTCTCCACCTTATATGTACCTGACGGTATAGGGAGATAATTTTTTTTAAAAGTTTAAATATATATATATATATATATATAGGAATATAGGATAGGCTTTATTAGGATTTAGGCCTAATGTAGTTCTCGATCTAACTAATAATAATAATTTTTAAACATTATTATCATCAATAACAGCAACTAGCAAAGAACTTGTTGTCACTAACAATAATCAGTAGTAGACTACTTGTAATAACAACTTCCACTTGACTGTTAACTTTGAGGAACAATAAAGTTTTCGGTAAATTTGTACTTTCACTGGCTCATACTGTTCAGGTGCACTGTTTACTTTTACAGTTTTACTTTTTGGGAACGAACGACCATATTTTTAAAAAACTACAGAACAGCCTTATGTTCAGTTTTAAAGGTGTAGACTTGTGTTGCCTCATCTAGGATTGGGACTTGGTCAAGTCATAGTAACAACAGGAACCGGCAGGGTAATGAATGTTTGATTCACATAAGTGTCATTAGTTGGATTTTGGTAAGAGGGTAAGGATTTTTTATTTGGTAAGTGTTTTATGGTGTAAACATTTTCAGTTGATATGATGTTTTGAATTTTGTGTGGGTGGTGGCCGAAGCCTACTCTTATCGATTTTAGACCACCATCTTTTTAATATGTGCGCAACTTGCACACAGGACCTCTGATATTTTTTGCCCCCGTCCAAGAAGGCTAGCGATATTCATAAGATCAGGGGTGTGGCTGAAAGACAGCAGTAAGAAGGAGCCAAGGAGTAGCAGTAGAAAGGCTGCAGAAAGAGTCAGGAGCCCAGAGGAGGGGGAAAAGGAGGTAAGGGGTGGAGGCAGGAAGTGGAGACGAAAGCAGACGATAGAACATCGCTAGAGAGCTGGAGAGGATATGAAAGGAGACCTATTGATTGAGAGGCAAACACCTTATTAACCTCTAGGCCACGAAAGCCCTCGGGTAAGGAATAGGTTGTAATTTACCGAAACCTTTATTTCCTAAATCCAAGATATAGTTTGAGCTATTGTTAATGTTAGCCCTTATCATAACCCTTACTGTATATTTATCCAAATCCAGCAATACTGTGAAATGGAATGTTCCAAACTAGAATTTAAGATTGCAGGCAGTAGTGTTACAATCTTGTAACAGCTAAGCTAGTGTAAGTGAGCGTTTGCCTTTTGATGTAAGCCTACTCACTTTTCAATGGCCAATAAACTCTGACCTCTTACTCTTCACAAATCACAGTACCTTTAACTTAAATTAATAATCAATGAACAATCATCCTTAGCTTTATCTTTAGTCTTAATGTTTGTTTTATGTATATTTCCAATTCTAGGAGCATTATTTAGTCAGTTTTATATTCTAGGAGAAATATTTAGTCAGTTTTTTACCTCTTCACTGGCACGCATCCGTCTCTGTTGTGTGGCTAAGTCAGTTTTCCGCTTTTGTCTTTTTTTACAGCTCATAAGAAAAGCTCTTGGTGAAGTAGTTGCATCTAAAAAACTAAAGTCTGGCTTACATTCTGAAGTGTTCAAGCTCATCAAGACGTTACCTGTGAAAAGACAATCAGAAGGGTAAGTGTTACTCTTAGTATAGTGTCTGAACTTGATGACAACTATGCTACCGGACTCGTAATCGTGAGGTTGTGGGGTAGGGAGTTCGAGCTGCGGGCCCGACGTTGTGCCCTTGGGAAAGGCACTTTACACAAATTTTCCTCACTTCATCCAGGTGGAAATGGGTACCCGGCCACAGACAGCGAAAGATCTTGTCAGGATGTTAGTGTTTTAGCGTCTATAAATGGCTGCTTGCACTTTATGCTTTCCAGGAAGTTGAGGTTGTTTCAGAACGCTCTCAGGTCTGCTGGGATAACAGTATAGATTGTGAAACGCACAGAGCTTGCTGTTGAGTGGGGATTTGCGCTATACAAATGCTATCTATTTTTTATTAATTTTCACAGCTCATCAGCTACAATAGAAGAGCCAGGAGCGAAATGTTGGACTTTACTCCAGCATTTGATACTGTCCATCGGAAAGGGCTGTGGAGGATCATGGCCAAGTTTTGGAACCATGTAAAGTTTATTGTGATGGTCCAGCAGTTCCATGATGGCCTGAACACAACAGTGCAGGATGACAACTAGTACTCCCAGCCCTTTCTTTAACTAATGGGGTTAAACAGGGCTGCCTTCTGGCCCCCACCCTGTTCAGAATGATGTTCTCTGCCATGCTGATGAATGCCTTTTTTCGATACTGTACCAATGGGGAAACTTTGCTACCTTATTCATTGTCTTAGTACATTTTTGTTTAGTTTCTGTTATCTGGAAATCCAGATTTCTGAAATTATTTAAAAATACTTCTCAAGTGTGTGTAATTGTTTTTTGTCTGATATATATTCCGGCTTGTACATTTATTCATATGTTAATCTCTATTTGGGCATGTATTGAGAATAGTCTTGATGCAAGATATAATAGACAATATTATGATCCATAAATTTTTAGTTCCTGTCCGTGTGTTTCCACGAGGTAGAAGAGGTCAGAAAATTTATTCATCAAAGACAGTTGGCACCTCTGGCGTTTTATTTTGCCCAGTGATATTTCAGTTTTCTTATTCATCTAATTTCTATCAGGTCCCCACAGTTTGGCATTAAGACTACAGACCTATCGCACCATTTTCAAGAGAATGTAAAGATACCAGAGACTGTGAGTCCCCACTTCTGCCTTATATTTGTAATGTTTTTTTTGCAAATGATTAGCCTGTTTCGTCTAATCAGACTGGATATGTTTGTGCTGTTTGATTTATAATTTTCTTAATTGATTATTTAACGTCTTTAAGATCAGTGAAGATGGAAGTGAAGGAATTTAATTCAATGGCCAAATGTGCAACATAAGAACAAGTACTGATTTCAGCATTCTTTTCTTCCTTAAGGAATCAAACTTTAATATTTAAATAAAACTTTACGATACCATTTGGTAAGTAAGTAAATAAGTAAGTAAGTAAGTTTAATCAGTGTTTAAAGCCATTGGCCCACATCACATCACATAAAACACTCATTTGATAAGTAAAGTTTCCATAATGAATAAGTACAGGTTGTGCACATATCTCTTATCATGGGTCAAACATTGCATATTTCTGTCACTGGGCCGAGTCAGGCTGGGAGGGATTAACAATTTCCTTTGATGGACAAAGTGTGAACAATAGAAAATAAAGTGAAATTCATCTTCAATTTCATGAGAGTTACACCTCTCACATAAGGGCAAATTAATTAATTTCCACTGATAGAGATTGTTATTTAATGGAAGGCTATGGGTTTTTAACTAGCTATGACTCTTCTGCTCCAATACCATAGGAGGTTTGTGATATATTCAGCTGTTTCTCGAAACGAAATTACGAGACCGTTTATTTGGTAATGCATTGTAATTGCATTTTTTTCCCTCACACTAGCAAATAATCCATTTGTTTGATTTCCAATCTGATCTAAGGATCCTCAATTTCAGGAAACAGCTCTATGATGTGCACATCATTTTTGGGAGGCAGTTTTAATATTTTCATGTTTATGTTGTATGAACTACAAGTAGTCTAAATTCTGTGAACATTTCGGTACATTATTTAAGGGTCAAAATTGCCAAAATGGTTTTGTATTGGTGTGTAATTAGTGTGGACTGCTTCCTTAAGGTTCCGTTCTTATTTTGTCTCGTTTTCAGGTAGGTGAAGGCATTGTTTCTAATGAAGTGGAGGATTCTGTTTATTTTAGGATTGACCCAGTCTCTTTTGCCCAGGTAAAAACTTGGATGTTGTGTTTCATAACTGGAAGTATACCAAGTTTTGATTTAAGTTTTTCAAAACTGTTGAGCTGTTCTTTCTTTTCATCAAAACTAGCCTGATTATAATGTCTGTGTACATTAGTCCAACTGAGGGTGTATGCGAGTTTTTGATGAAGAGGTGGGAGTTTCCTCCTTCTGATGCATCATGCAAGGCATTCAAAGATGTGGGACATTGTTTCAGTGTGCAGTAAGGTTTACTCTTAGGGTTACAAAGTTTTGGTACAAGTTTGTCTTTTCCAAAGGGAAAAAACTATTTTTAAAAAAGTATTGGTCTCTTCAGTTTCATTTTCCCCACTAGTATTTCTCTTGCAAAACCAGGCAGAGGACTCTGAGAAAGAAGGTTGAGTGAGGACATCTCTTAGCAATTGTAAGCAAGAAAGCAAGAAGTCAGGAAGGCTACACTCTGAATGCGACATGCTGTATAAAGTTTCTTTTGTTCTGAATGCAAAAGGTTATTGCTGCATTGCAACATTTTTGTTATTTCTAATTTCATCTTTTTTATTTTTATTTCAGTTTTTAAAAACAAACTGTTCAAATGTCATACTCCAGTTAATTAAAAACGTTTCTTTGAATATTGTAATTAGAAATCTTATTATTGCATATTTTGTACTCATAAAACCACAGAGTGTTTTTCGTTGCCCATTCTGTACTTTCTGATAATGTTCTGGGGTATAATGTTTGTCACTTTCCAGACTGTCTTGAAAAGTGTGAGGGCTGATGGTTCTAACTACGGTCATCGGGACACTCATCAGCCACCCCAGTGTGTGTGCGTAGAGTTCAGGTAATATTTGTTATCTGATTTCATGATATACCCTGCCATTCCCCTTTATCTCTCTATTTTGGTGAAGTTTTCGGAGTACAATCCAGACAAGGCCAGTACCTGTATGCTCCAGTTGTTGCAGTTGTCAGAGGTGCTGAGTTTTCAGTTAAAAATCTAGAATTGTGGATTTCTGAAATTGTCCTATTATTGTACTTTATATAAAAATAGTCTTTTTACAAGATGCATTAGGTAATATGATCCGTAAATTTTGAGTTCCCACGTGCACATTTACAGGACCCAAAAAGTTCAGGATTTTTTTTGGAAACCCGGTGGCACATCTGAATTGTATACGAGAATCAACTTCTGTTCTTCTGTTTTTTCTATGCATTAAGTGTGCACGTGTATGTGATGGATGCAGTTCATGTCTGAAGTGAATTGTAATTCTCATGCAAATAGGGAATAGGGACAGTCTCTGACTGAAGTTAATCTAACTTCACATACAGCAGGTGCCAAAAGCTACAGTTTATTGCTGAAGTTGATTTTTTTACTTCTATGTGGAATCAGAGAATCTTATTCAACTTGGAAATTTTGCTTAAGCATCAACCTGGAAGTCTACACGTCTATTTTTCCTTGTTGTATTTATACTTTTGTCTTCACTGGTTTTTAGAGATCCTGAGGTTTGAAAGAATAGAGATAGTTTTTTAGATATCATGCGAACACAGCTTGTGAAGCTGAAAAGCAGACTCCATAGAGCCCACTCAGCTAATGTCATTGCTGCATAGGGAAAATCGCTAGTCTAAAGGTAAGATGCCAAAGTACCTGGCTCAATTCCCTGTATGTGCAGGGATGGGTAGCGTAGAATTGTTTTTTTTTTTTTTTTCAAATCAAACTTCTTGAATAAGAATAAAAAAGTCAAAGGTTCTGTGTTCGGATTGAAGAAGTAAAAGATACCTTAATGTGTGAGAGATGAAGAAGAGCTAGCCTGTTAAGGCTGTGAGCTAAGGCTTACCCGAAACTGAAAAAATTCATTGTTGTTTTTAACAAATTAAAATACCTTCCTGAAAGGTGCAAGAAACTGCTTTCTTGGGGCAAAACAGGCCATATTCATTTAGTGACGATCAGTTGTACTGTGGGTTCATTTCCCTTTGGGAAAATAGTGCTTTTGGATTGGGGGGGGCTGAAATTCAAGACTATTTTGTAGATATTAATGAATATATGAGACTAATACTTGATTTCAAACTTTTCATTAGATTTTGATTGATATATTCCCCCCCCCCCCCCCAAAAGCTCTCCAAATATCGCCAAGCCATTCCATGTTGGTCATATGCGCTCTACCATTATCGGTAATGTAATGTCCAACTTGTATGAGGCTGCTGGTCATGACGTGAAGCGAGCCAACTTTTTAGGAGATTGGGGAACTCAGTTTGGTGAGTGTAATGGATATCTTATTTGTTCCATCTTTGTCGTCTTTGATTTCTTTATCATGTTGTTTATGTGTTTTTTATTTTGTTATTTATTTATCTTCTGATCTTTTCTTCTCTCTTGTGTTAATGCCTTTTTCAAAGAAATTTTTGTCAGAATTTGATAGGTGGAGTCCTGAGGGTAGTTTGTATTCTTACGGTGAATATTGTCTTTTTTCTCTATTTTCTGACATTTTTTGGGCAATTGTCTACCTATATGTTATCGTTTACTTCTTTAAAGTGGAGGTAACATTAACAATAAAAAAAAATATGAATGCAAATTAATGTTTTGAGAGCACAATTGTTATTTGAGTAAAATACTGTGATGGTTGACGTGTCATTGTTAACATGTCTAAAGTTATTGACTGTTCAGCCCCACTCAACTTCAAATACTTTACTGTTTCAATCTTTTTAGGTTTATTAATGCTGGGTCTTCAGAGATATTCTCAGAGAAAGCGAGTGAAGGCAGATCCACTCCAGGAGTTCTTTGAGGTAGGCAGAAAATGTTATTCTTTTATCTGCTGTTTAACTCTAAAGTGTCCTTAATTGTAGGCAAAAGAGGAATGCTCTTTTCAAGGTTAAGTGAAAATACAACGACACATCAACTGGTTATTACCTTGAGCCTGTTTTTTTAAATTGAAATTTTAATAACTTTACATTTCTGGAACACTTTGATTTTCTTCATATTTATTGACTTGATGTCCTCATGGTTGAATTTTGTTTGTCGAAGTTTTGTTGAAATTGGTGCAGAGATGACCGAGTTATTACCATTTAAGTGGATCCTTTTTGTTTAGACACCCTGTACATTGTGCCTATAATTAGGGGCTCACCTACTTCACTTAAGGGGAGCTGCTCATACACAATAACCTTGATGTAAGAGTAACATCTGTTTTGGGACTTTGTCTTTCATCGAGATGTCTTATGTAAAGAATTGTGGACCTAGGGTAAGTGTAATGTAAAATAGACCCCTAAAACCTTACTTTATGGGTTCTTTCTTTCAAATGATCCATTCATGCCTAGATTGGTGTTAGACCTATACAAAAACAAAGACATGTGGGATGTATGTTTGTCACTCATACTGCTAAGAATATTTGATTTGTTTGTATTTACTGTGGCAGCAAATTGTTTAAATTTCAAGAATTGTTTTTCAGCAATAGAGAGAAAAGGCATTATGTATTGTTTTTGATAATAAAGCCCTGTTACAATGGCTGTAGTGAAATATATTGAGGTATTTGTCAATTAATTGTTTTCTAAAAATTAGTTGTTGTACATACATATTTTGAAGGAGTTGTAGAACGGGGGGCTTGATAAAAAGGAGGTGGGCTGAATGGGATTCATTTCAGTTGAGCTCTTTACATTCCTGTACGAAAGACAGGTTATTCCATGGGTGGTTACATATTTCAAATGAAAAAAATGATGTTATATTGTACAACTTAATTGCCATTATGAAATATGATTCTGTTTCAGGTATACGTAAAAATCAACAAAGATGTTAAAGAAGAAAGTGGAGAAAGACCTGAGTCCAGCTCACAGACGTATCAAGAAGGAATGAGTCTGTTTTCCAAGTTAGAAAAAGGTACGATGTCCTGAGGCCAATTCAGGTGCTTGGAAAAATGGAGACATTATTTATATCAAATGTTTTTCCCTCCTTGGAGAACCAAGTCAGACTCCTTACTCCCAAAAGGAACACTGGAGCTGCGAAAAGAGATTTTTCAGAGTATAACAAAACAAGAAAAGATCATACAAATAGAAAAAATTGCAGCTCTTCTGAGTATATCGAACCAAGCAAAGATATTTAAAAAAGGAAGAAAAAATGAATAAACATATGGGCTTTTGAGACAACTAGAATAAAGCTTTTCTTATCCACCGAAAGGTTAGGGCCTAGTAGTAATGACTGTGTTAAACAATTACCTGTAAATAAGTGAAATCTCTGATTTCCGCCTGACGACTCTACACATCACTTCCAAACATATTTGCAAAATTGGACTGAAACAAAGTTCCAACTCGTTATTAAAAAACACTGATTTAAACAATTTTATACCATTCTTGGAGTTGTTTCAGCATCGCACTTCCTGTAAAATAAATCTTGATATAAGCTGATAGCCTATCTCACGTGTGAAATATAAACATTTGCATAAATTACTGCGCGCACTATATTCGCCTTCTAGTCTTCTGTGAGCAAAGTATAGACTTGAATCATAATACTCCTAAACCGTGCAATGTTATGGCAGCTGCTCTTTGCCCTCTGTAAAAGCTTCATTGCAAAGCGTGCTCACCATAGGCGCCCAAATGAAGTGCTAAACATCAGTCCCCCACTGTCCCTATAGTAAAATGTAGACACAACTCACTACACTGCCCTTAATGTTGTTCCAAATTGAGTCAAATGGAGCGCAACATAGTGAACCGGGATTATGTCAGAGTGTGGCGATGTATTTTAGCACAACGCTAGCAAGTCTGTGCTAGCAACATAGATTTACACTATTAGGTTTAAAACGGAGATAACTCTATGGCTAGCAAACCACTCCCAGCCTTTGGTTAGTTTTGATTGCAAAATTTTAAAAAAATGATGTCTTTATTATGATTCCTGAATACAGATATGGACCGGATAAAAATACTTAAATGAGAACTTCAATTCAGCCTCTTTATCTGTCTTTGAATTATTTTTTGGTAAATAAATCCTTCCTCGTTCAATATATTATATTGTATTTCATGTATGTTTTTTCGTGTGTTGAATAAAAGGAGACCCAGATTTAAGATCGGTGTGGCAAGAGGTCAGAGAACTGAGTATTGCAGAGTTGGATAAAATGTATCAGGTAATATTTCCCATTTTTCCTTTTTCTTTTTTACTCGTGCGTTATTTTTATCTTTCGTTTGCTTTTTCACTTAAATGTTCTTGATGGTGAGACTGTTTGATAGTATTTATTTCTTTGACCTTTAAGTGTTTTTTTTTTAGTGATATGTCCCCTCTGGTTGTAGGTATACATCACTTAACATCTTCCTTGGCAGTATGAGGCCTGTTCATTCCAGTTTACTATCTGAGTAATGTGTTGTGTGTATATTGCGATCTTCACCTGTTTCATCTCTGCTGTGGGTGGTTGGTGGCTGCTCTGGTGTGGTTTTGCTCCTTCTTTCCCATCAAGCATTTATTGTCTTTATCCTTCCTTCTTGTTAGTGTTTGTTACTCTCTTGTAAGACCTCTAACCTGCAGCACTTATGTGACCTTACTGTGTTGCAAGTGTTGTCAAATTCTTACTAAAACTAAAAACTAATCTCTGCTGACTGCCATGAGCCCATTAGCAGCTGGATAAACTGGGGAAACAGAACAAAGTGCATTTCTTAAGGACATTTGGGAACTCGACTCATAAATTTTATTGGGAGAACAATTCAACATTGAGGTGTTTGTATTGAATGGCTTTATTGTTAATACATTTATGGGAATGGACGGCAATCTTAAAATTCTAGATGTTGTTGGGAACCAATGGAGTTTTCTTAGTATAGGGGTGATATGGTTGTCTCTCTCTTTATTCTTACAGCTTGATTTTGAAAGATCTGTAGTTTCAAATGGTGATGTTCAGGAGAGAGTTGCAGTTATCCATATGAGAGACCACTGAAGATTTGTTGCTATAATGTTGAATTTGAATGAAAGGGTGATAGCTTGTAGTGTGCAAAGAGCCATGTATGTAGTGATGCAATGTTTGGTTTATGCCCTCTTTATTCTGAGTTGAAATTTTCCTCCAACTCCCTGAGACAGCTTGGCTAGTACTTTCCTTGTACTCTTTTGTGTTTGCCTGTTGTCTCACTGTCAGGTCACTGTGTCATGTTTGGGAAAAGCAAAATTTTATGCAAGTTTAGATTTCAGTTCTTCATAGTACACATGAATTATATATTTCTCAAAGCTAGTGCTTTTTGGGGGTTGGCAGTTTTCTACAGTGATTGTGATGAAATCGACTACGATCATGCTGACTCATCAGATAGGCCTTCTTCTATTTTGGTGATAAATTTTAGGTGAACTGAGACATATATGTTTATTGACACGCCTCTTTATTTTCAGCGCCTGGGAGTACATTTTTCTCACATAATGCCTGAATCCTGTTTCCAAGATAAAACCTCAGAAGTTTTGCAGTGCCTGAGGGATGCAAGTTTACTGCAATTTGAGTAAGACTTCAGATTAAAGAAAAATTATACAGTCGAACCTGTGTAAGACAGAATTGCAAGGGAGCCAGAAAAAAATTACGTCTTAGACATTTTCCATCTTAGGCAGGTCAATTTAAGGGGGGGGGGGGGGGGGGGGAGATGGAGGGGGGTTTCAAAGGCCCAGATGGTGGGATCAAGGGATGCTTTTGCAGGTGGCAAGCTGTGGTCAAAACCTCACACCTCTCAATTGTTACTCTCACTGATAATGACATGCGTCAGTCTTACTTATCCAATTACCACCAGTGCTTGCATTTCATAGGACCACTGTCAAACCGATTAAAAACAGAAATGTTTGAACATCTCCTTTGCTTCCACCCTTAGCCCCACCCATCGGTGTAACAAAGTCAGTCAACCAATACCATCCCTCACTGCCATGTAACAACGATTCGAGGAACTCTTTCCTTGGCTGGCCGTAGGATCAGGGCGGCTGGCGCTGGTCAAACTAATTTCACACCTCTGGCTTCTGGCTACCCAGGAAAGTCTGCGTGGTGGCTTGCTACTCGAGCACTTTCACTGGCGCTCGTGACATTTTACACCCACACCACCCTGACCATCTTCATCGCTCAGGGCTCTCATAGATAGGGTAACATCTACTCCCAAATCGCACCCCTACTCCCCTTCCTCGCCCGGCGGCATAGTGTTAAGTTTAGAGCCGGTGGAATCAAATTTGCAAGTTTTGTTTCAAATCAGGGCTGAGCCGGCAAAGCATTTTCCATCTTAGACAGGTGAAACCCTCGGAAGGGAGCGGATTTTTCTTTTCGTTTTCGCGTTGGACAGGTTTCCATTTTATACTGGTAATTAAAGAGGAATATATCAAGGGGGGAGCGGTGAGCTTCCGTTCAGGCTGGTTCGACTGTATTCATATATTATATTTACCCTATTTGAATTTATCATTTTTTAGTGTTTTTTTGTTATTGTTTGTTTACAGTTATAGCGTTTTTATTTTATTTTATATTTTAAAATTAAGATTTTCTTTTGTTTCATGTGATGCTGATTTCTTTTCTTTGCATTTCATGTTTTAGACAGAAGCAGGTTATGAGCAGGTGGGTAGAAGACACCACTAGTAGGTCCTACTTCTTTTCTTTCCCTCTGTTGTTTCTGTCTGTCTATCTTGCTTCTTCTCTGCATGATATGACCATTATTGTGTCTATATGCTTCTCTTTTCTCAAACTCAGAACTCAGATTATGATGGGTGAGCTTATTGGTGCTCTGTAAGACTTAAATTCGTTTACATTGTTTCCATTCCTGGGAAAATATTGGGCCATGATTGTGCTGACTCACCATAAACCACAGTTTTTTAACTTATTCTGGAACCGTTTTAATTTTCTAGCATTGCTCTCATAGTTTTATATAGATGATCATGATCCGTTTTGTTGTTTCAGTTTATCATTTTAAAACTTGTATCATAAAAGCTTCTTTTACACAAGCATTGAGTGTCTGATTCTGAGTATTTGTATCATGACATGATGGAATCAGGCACTAATTAATTTTTGGGCAAATAGAGTTATTGATATCATCTTACAGCTTGTTCATTTGTTTTGAGTTTGGAAGAACCCCCCCCCCGTCTAATATTAATAAATATATAGAGATATTTTTGATTGAAGGAGTTGGGGGTCGCCTGTTTTGACAGGTAAAATTAGCAAGAAAATGGCAGCCAAAGTTTGGTGACTACCATAGCCTGACTTTTCTTTGAAGACTGGAAATTTATATTTTTCGTGTCTTTAGTGGACATTTTTCGGAACTATCCACACAGAAATGTGTTTTTAAATGGACATAAAAGGTGTTGCGCCAATAAAAGAAAATTAGAAAAAAATTGCCCAGCTGCCAGAAATTTGCTGATTTCTTTGATTTCATTATTTTGACGAGCGCCTGATTTTACCATGATGCCTCTCATTTTTCTTTATTGTTTTGATTTTTGTTATTTCTTTGACTTTTCAGCTCAAATGGAGTTGGTTATGTGAATGTGAACATACAAGAAAACATGGGCAAGGCTAATGTTGTGAAGAGTGATGGTTCTTCACTCTATCTTACCAGGTAACGGCACAGTTTGAACTTTTGTTAGAAATGTAGTTACATTAGGTTTTTTATACTGTCAATACATGCTATAATCTACAGTCTTCTTTATAAAATGTTTACTATTTTGAGTTGAATTTTCATTTTTCTTTTTTTAGGTATATTGGTGTTTTATTATCCTACCTCCAAGACATTTGGTAATTGTTTTTAGAAAAAATTTACCTGTAAATGAAATCGTATTGATGCAGTAAATTGGGGAAGGAAATATTACTCTTACACTGGCTGAAGTGATTTCATTGTGTGAGAAAAGAACAAAAAAGTACAGATGTCTTGTATCTTGTATGCTCATGGAAGAAAGAATTTGACTGGTCGAAATATGTTAATAACATTTCAATTAAAGAAATTGTTGTGTCTGAGGTTCAAAGTAGTGTGGCCTTGAACATAACTCTCAGCAAAAATGTTTTTTTTTTAAACTTCAGTTCCATTTTTCTTTCAGAAAAACGTACAATCATAGAGAGCTGCGATATTCGTTTAGAGCGAGGATTCTGTTATAAGCTTTGTGATTCTATATTTCTTATGGAATATTTTCTGGTGATTGCGCTGGAGGTGCTAATTGAACGATTGGTTGTGCAAAGATGTGTTCAAATGTTTTGTCATGATTCCAACAATTTGAGATTGTTGTATTGATAATTATGTCCTGTTCATCTTCAGAGATATTGCAGCGGCCCTAGAGAGGGAGACTATGTTTGCCTGTGATAGAATGCATTATGTGGTAAGAGTTTTGTTCTTTTATGCCCTGCCATGTATGTCAGCCCTTTTCAAAAGGTCAGCTTAAATTTATGATAATACAGCTCTTTAAATATTCAAATGTTTAATTTTTATGCCTTCTAGTTTAAATGTAATCTGTACTGGGTGTTTTCGTATGAAAAGCATAACCAGATACAGTATTTGCAGAGAAGATATAGTGTACCAGTTAGGAAGATTCCTCTTCCTAAAACTAAAAGTCATAGTTGAAATTGTAAATATCTCCTCCTTGACTCTATGTATATGAATGTAAAGAATTTCTATAACAGTTCTCGAAATATTCAGTACTTTGTACTACACCATTGCTCATTGTCCTGAGGTGTCTGGAAAATGTCAGTTCTTTCTTGATGACAATGTTCTTATCTTTCCATAAAACATACATGTCTGGACTTACGTGTCTATTTTTAGGATGTGTGGATCTATGAGAGGACTTGTTTATATAGATGTGGAGTACACTTTTAGAATTAGGTGAAGGAAACTTTCTTCTAGGTATTATCTATGTTTATACTGTTTTAAAATACAGTGCCAAAGAAAAGATTAGGAATAACTTAACGTGGTATAGGTTGTAATGAAAAGCCAGTAATGTTTGTGAATAGTCATGACTTGAAAGAGTTATGTTTAAGGTCACAAAAAGTCACACTGCAGTAACGTAGACAGGAAATATAATTTTTGGCTTATTGCATCATACGAATATTCAAGGAATACAGTATTCTTACCACACTCTTTATTCTGCATCTTATGGAGATATCTCTTATTATTGACAGGTTGAAATGGGACAGAGAAGTCACTTTGTCAAACTAGTCAGTGTTCTCAATCAACTGGGAGTACCATGGGCGCAAAGGCAAGACACACTGAACTTGAAATCTTTATGTTTGCAAGGTGCAATCTTTCCAGCTGTCATTATTGTCTGTTTCATTGTGACGTTAACACAGTTGATGAAACTCTGGAATATAGAAAAAGAAAATGCTTCTGTATTGTCTTTACCCGAAAAATTTGTAATGTTTTTATAACAAAGGTACCACACGGCATAATAGATAATGTAATTACAGAAAATACATCGCAATTGCTAGTTGTTATGATTCATGTCTTGTATTGTTGTATTGTAAAGTGCTCAGAGTATATGTAAGCCTACTTTGATCGGTGTAGAGTGCTAGACCTATATAAATGCCATATATTATTATCATAAGCCGGTATTTACTCATATCATGCTCAAGGGCTGCCCTTAGTAAACTTTTCAGACAGCCTTCGTACTACTCATAATTCATCTCCCTTACCCATTTTTCCAGGCCAATAGATGAAATCCACATACGATTTGGACGAGTTAAGGGTATGAGCACTCGGTCTGGCAACGTGGTCTTTCTCAGGGATATACTGGACGAGGCACGGGAGAGAGTAGCTCACTCCATGAGAGACAGACCTAGTGAGTGATCTTCAGGGAGAGTTTTCACTCGTTATGTAGTGTTCACTCTTCTCTCTCTCTTTCTCTGCTTTGTAAGATCACACAGCAGCAGATATGTACCTCTAAAAAGAAAGAAAGAAAGATATAAAAGAAGTTTTTTTTCCATCTATCATAAGGCTGTTGTTAGAATAAGCATCAGTGTGTATTGCTCTTTCAAGTATGTATATCTATAAAACTCTAAAGGACTTGTAATTTAATTCCTGCATGTGGCTGAATAATGCATCTGATGTGATATGTACATTTTGTCACCTTTACTTTTCTTTTCATATTGAATTTTAATGAGAGAAATATATAATTAATTGTTATGTATACCTGTATGTGTTTTTACGGTGCTGTACAGCGAAGAAAAATTTCCCTCTGGGATAATATTGTCTCATCTTATCTTATCTTATCTGATCTTTTTGTCTCTGTCTGACTCTCACAGTTTTCCTGTCTCTGTCTTTATGTCTCCCCCCCCCCCCCCCAGGGCAGTGCTACTGACTGAAGTGTCTGTAGGCCATTCCCAAAGGGGGGATATTAACATGTTCTTATACACAGTAGAATTGTAAATGGGCTAATTTATCAATGTCATGCTCATACTGTGCCGGAACAACATAGGCGGAACTGCTGCTTTTACTTTCCTCATCCTTACTATCGTCATTTTCCTCTACTTCTTTTGTATGTTTGTCACTCTCTTGTGAACTGCTATTTCCGGGTTGAGGCTAGAGAGGTGAGCAGAGTAAGCTTGATTCCCCGTTTGGACTTCTCTGTTGACATTCTCACCCTGGCGCTCATATGACCTTATGCAGTTGCGGGCCCTGAAAATCTTACTAAAACTAAAACTGTCTTTATGTCTCCCTACTTGTCTGTCTCTCTGATTTGCTCTTCCTCTCATACTGTCTGTCTGTCTGTCTGTCTTTCCCCCCCCCCCCCCCCTCTCCCCCGTCTCCCGTCTTTCACCTACATCTTGTTCCTACCCCCCCCTCCCCCCCCCCCCATTTTTTGGTCCTTTTTTCCTCCCTGTGTGCTTTTGACTGTGTGAGCATTCTTTTCTCAAACTAATTCAACTTGTATTAAGTTGTTTGTGGGGGAGCTGTCATCATAATATATCACACCTTTTGCTTTAACAAGCTCTTACAGAAACGGATAGTGTTAAAATGATTAAACAATGTGGATTTAATAGTCATTTATAATACTACTTTCTCAACAAAATGTCTACCTGAGACATCATGAGACTTAAAGTAAGGTCATTACTAAAATCATTTACCATTGAATCTTTGGCTTCCTTTTATTAATGATTAAATAATGAGAGAATTACAGTGGAGTCCTCTTAATAAACCAAAATATGCAGTACCGCTGGAATGTCTTTGGTTAAGTCGGGTTTTCAGTTGGAAGAGGTTTCTCAAATAGTAGGAAAAAATCTCCAGGGATTTTCTTTTCTTTTGGTTTAGCACTGTTTTCGGATTAAAAGTGTTTGGTTTGAGCAGACTCCACTGTATTTCAAAGATAGTCAGATAGGGGCATAAATGGTCACCTTTACTTTAATGACAAGCAGGCTAACCCAGATTTCGGGGATTTCCATAAGTCTTGACCTACATCAAAAGTGGGCATTGCCCTATCTACAGGAGAAGCTTGGTTTCGTTGGTGTGTATATTTGTTTGGTTATAGAGAAAACTTTTCTTGTCTTTTAAAGAAACTAAACAAGGGGCAAATACTTTACCTTAGATTTTCTCAAAACAGCATTTTTCTGGATAGCCCCCTTGTGCTTAAAAGCGACCAAATAATGTTTGACAGTGAGTTGTCATTAATTTATCTGCAGCAACACGAGTTTCTGGAACATTGGACGCAGTAGCAGACACTCTGGCTGTCTCTGCCATCATCCTACAGGTCAGTGTTCGGTTCACCACTACAGAGTTCTTTATGGACATGCCCAGCTCTCTGTCTTTTAGTCTATTTTCACTCTCTCTTTGTGTCTCTTTCTGTGTGTTTCTTGTAGTTTTAGTCTCTTTACCACTTTTTCTCTCTTTCTTACTGTCTTTATCACACTGTTTCTCTAATGCGTACATGATCCAGTAAATGTTCGTGCTGACATCCTGGCCTTACCAAGGGTAATCAAGGAATGTGAAAATGTTTTCAAATTTTATATGGTCCGTCAGAATATTAGCTTGTTGTACTGGGCATAGAATCTTATAATAATATTATTAATAATAATGATAATAGTAATAATATAATAATAATAATGATGAAGAAAATGATAATGATAATAATAATTGTCTACTTTGAAACGGGGATACAATAATGTAAGTACTTTATAAAAATGCAAAAATTGTATTCTTATTACATGAATGTTTTCTATTCCCTCTCATTAAACCCCACTCCTCCTTTACTCAGGACCTGAAGTCTCACCGTGCCAATGACTACAGTTTCTCTTGGGAGCGCATGCTCAGCTTCAAGGCAGATTCAGGCATCTTTGCCCAGTATTGCCACTCCAGACTTTGTAGGTGAGTGAACTTTTAAGGCCTCTCCCAATTTCTACTCATTTATCCAGAAAATATTTGAGCAGGTTGATTATGATGTCTGTTTCGTTACTTATTCATTTTGCTATTTTTTGGTTTAATTTTACATGGCAGGCAGTTGGGGCCTTGACTTGCAACATCTGCTTCTTTGCCAGAAGTTGTTCTTTTTGTTTTTTCTCACACTACTGTTTAACATCACTCTGTCAATACTGAAACTTGTACATCCTTGCTTAAGTCATATCTGTTCTAATGTGCTGGTGCTTGTGTTACCCTTTGTTTTGATGACGTCTATTTATCTATCCATTCATCCTTCGCAATGAATGTTCTTTCATTTTGTTTATCGTGTGTTTTGTATCTGTATATGTGCATGCGTGCATGCATGCATGTGTTTTCTGATAAGTCTGAAGGGAAGTCTGAGTATATATATTCTGAAACACATTCATTCTTCTGTTGCTTAGTGGTTTGTTGTTTTTTGGGTCAGAATGCCTAAGTAAATATATATGTAACCATAATATTCAAGTCATGATTTTTTGTTGCAAAGTGAGCTCTGTCAGCATATCTTCACTTTAAGGGAAACAGTTGACTTGTGATTGACAAACTTGAAAACTGAGCAGACTGTGAGCAGTGCAGCGGTCGAAATTAGGGCAATGCTCTTTTGAAGCTGAAACCTTTGTATTTACCTATTCTCCCAACCTGATGAAAGTGAGTGAATTTTTGTTCCCCTGAGAAGTTTTAAGGAGTGAGGAGAGAATCTGGCTCTTCATCCTCATTGCCTTTCTCATCCTGCACCAGGGTATAGGCCACAGACAAACGCCTTCCACCCTTCTCTATCCTGGGCTAGCCTCTTGATGTTATTCCATGTCTTCCAACTTTTCTGTACTTTGATTTCTGTGATTCTTCTCCTGGTTCTACGTGGTCTTCCCCTTGATCTCTTTCCCTGTGGGTTCCAGTCCAAAATCTGTCTCTTGGGTATGAATAAATCTGAAGAGTTTGATTCCTGATTAATGCATGTTGTTCACCAGTATTGTTTGTACTTGAAACAGAATTTATTTGATTAAATGATCACTGATTGTTTCTGAGAGGGTGATGTTTGTCTGTCCTCCAGCATGATGAATAGCTGTGGTGTGGAGGCCGCTGACGCTGATGTAGACCTGGACAGTATAGCTGAGGATGTGGCACTTCACCGAATAGTGCTGCACTTGGCTCGGTCAGTATGTCTCACCTTTTCACCTGAAAGGCCTGTGTGTGTCTCGTCACTAATAAGGCATTCAATTTGAACCACACCAAATTATGATGAATATCACATATGGATTAGAATTAACTCAGAAACCAACAAAAAGTCTTATTTTTTGTTTCTTTCCCCTTCTTGGATCATTTGGAAATGTTCCTGTTGTTTATTTAATTATTTTTTTTATTACTGTTTGTAAATTGTATTTTTTCAGCCATTGATTTTAAAAGGGAATGTTTTTTTTACCTAACAAGTGTCAAAAACTCCTTGGTGTATGTACCACTTGTAGCCAGTTATTGGCATGTATGTGGCTGCTTGCAGACAATCACACTTACAGTTATGCTTTCTAAAGCTTTGACATACATTAAGATTTTGGTTAATACTAGGTACTGGTCAAGTTAAATACCCTATATGACTGCATTTAGATTGTACTGAATTAGAGTCAGTTGGTTCTGTATTGAAACACCTGGCCGAGATGAAAGACAAGGTAGCATCTTTTAATAAAGGCCATTGAATGCTTCTTAAAACCAGTTAACAGAAGTGTATAATGAAGTTTTTTTTTGTTTTACAAAATGGGTAAATGTTTGTCCCTTTCTTTCAACATTATGTAGGAGTAGGAGGGGTTTGAAATTATACTGCCTGATTGTGATTCATGGACTTAATAATCTTTCTTTTATTCTGTCTACAGTTTCCCTGAGGTATTTGAAACATCTTTGTCCAGCCTGGAACCTCACCATATTGTTCAGTATTTATATCGTTTGTGGTGAGTACCGTATATATTTATAATTTATGTGTAGGCTAGCTTTTATGTTCTGAATTTTTATCCACATGTGAATGTTTTCCTCATGAATTGTCTTTGAGGGGGAAAACCTTGATGTAGATTTCTTGTCTCAATTTTGTCTTGTAATAAGAGGTCCTGGCGTTTGATTCCTTTTTGACTCTCACACTTATTAATTGACTTCGTTGTTCTAAGGATCTGACTTAGAATACTTAGATCATTTTGTAGGTAAGCTGCTTTGATAATACCTGTCAGGCCAAATTTGGGCTGCATAGGTAGTTACATTATCAGCAGAAAGATGGAGGTACTGTCAAACCAGCTCTAATGGCCACCAGTCAAAGAGCAAAATTTGATAATTTTTTGCATAATTTCTTATTTTCCTTTATCATTCTTTGTTAAAATTAACAGAATCGACTAATTTCACCATTTGGGCTCAGTTTGCATAATTTCAGAATTTTTCTTGCACCATACAAATGACTGTGCCACTCCCACTTTGCCCTCTTGCGGTTTCCAAAAAAGATATATTAAAATGACACTGTCCAAGATGTTCACCTGACTAAGACAACCTCTTTTCTCCATGACAATGGGTGGCGGTCTTGGACAGTTTCGACCATACCTGCTAAAATATCTCTCTAGTGTGGGAGACTTGTGTGCAAAGCTTAGTCTAAGTTCAAGCATTCCACCTCACAGTCTGATGATTTTTTTCCATATTTTATGTATCAATCCAATCTCTTGTGCTGCAAAATATGTTTTAGAGTGCAAACTGTTACCCATTCTCCGTTTTTTTCCAGTGAAATGATGGGTCTAAATTTTATGTAATACGAATTGCTCTACTGGTACCCCAGTTGGAATGGTGACTTTTAAAACCTGACATGAACCTCTTCCACACCTGTGCCACACCCGTCGTTTAGCTGGGGTTTTCATTTTAGTGCTGCACTAAAATTCGGCCAGCGTGGAACCATTTTTTCTGACTTTCTTCAAGCAGCAAATTAAGATGGAGGTGGAAGCTTTGATAGAGGCTGTAAGACAAAGGCAGGTTCTTTATGATAAAGGAGCCAATGATTATTCAAACAGTGTTTGAAACCATAGTTTTAATAGGTTTCAAAAATTTCTTTCCCTCTTTGTGACATAGGTCCCTATCAATTCTAGCAGCAAGTTAAAAAATGCTTGGTTTCATTCGAATGTAAGATAAGCACTTCTCCTCATCATTGAAAACTTCATCTACAAGATGGAGGAACTCGCCGTAGGTTTCTCTCCTTTGGTGGTTTCTATGAACACAATATCTCTGCCTACTGAAACAGCATCTCTCTTTTTTAAAAATAATACAAAATCGTCAAGATCTCAGCTGCCATGTAACCAAGTATCCTGACATCGCTGGATTGGGAACAGGATGGGTGTAAAAATTTGCCTCTCGGCACGTTGCAGTTGCTGTGACAACCAGTTTTTCACCATGGAACGGTGATGCACGTTAACTCACTCAATCCCGTGATTGGCCCTGAAAAAAAAATTATAAGCCCCCCAAAAATACCAAATTTGTAAAACACCTCAAAGTAAAACTACTAAAGATACATACTTCAAATTTGGTATGTTTAAAGATCCATCTTAGGTTGTACTTTGTTGTAAATTTCCAAACAATTGGATTATTTTTATGGTTACTAGTGGGCCCTTACTTTACATAAATGCCGAAATGACCAGTTTCTGTAACAATGTCGGGAAAAACTCCAGGGACTGAGTGAGTTAACGGGCTCACTCTGTTTTGTACTCTTAGAGTAGCTTATTTGTAAGCACAAGCGATGTTCTAATGCCTTGGTAAACTGTTTCTTTTTCTTTAGCCATTTGATCAACGCTGCTTACTCAACGTGCCCTGTGAAAGGACAGCCCACTGATGTGGCACAGGTAACTTGGGATATACTCTATTTCAACTAGTTGGATATGTATACCGGGTTGTGGCGGAATGTGGGATACCTGCCTCTACTAAACTTTTATCTTTCTTGATATGGTCCTTCAAACTGTTGTTCGGCAGAGTTTATGTATTATTTTTTCGCATATATATATATCTTTGAACCAAGGCCTTGACCTATGGCAGGTGTGTACATTGGTACCTGTCTAACTTTCTTTTGCCTTAGGAATACCAGTTCAAGTTCAAATGCTTGATGAGTTTCACAGACATTCTCATTATTATTGTCATTGATAAATGACTGTCCTCTACTGATCTATGCAAATTGAATTGCTATATATTATTATTTTCTCCTGAATCGGATTTTGGAAGTTGAATTGGCATCAACTTAAGAAAGTCTGGCCAAAATCTTTGAATGAGGTGGAGTAGGTGTCTGGGTGTGTGAGAAGATGAGACATTGTGGTGTATTTGGTGGTATAAAATCTTTTGTTGACCCCCCCCCGCGTCATTTCACTTACATCACTTTCCAGTGTTTGGAACAGGAAAGATAATGGGATTCAAAAGGACTTTGGTATCAGAAGATTTATGTTCGGGTCGGGAAAATGAATTTTGCTCATCTTTGTCACTTTGTCTTTGATTAACTCACTGACTACGGATCCCGTCACGGGTACGGGGCGGGCGGTTGGTTCCTAGGTACGGATCCCGTACCCCTGACGGGATGGACTTTGCGGTTTTGTTCCGTATCTTGTGCTCCCGTCACATGAACGTTCAAGTAACGGTCGCATGAACAAAAATCACATAATTTCGCTGTTTTCGATACTTCTGTACGTTTTGATAGTTCTAGTGACTCCGGATAAGATGTGTCTAATAGTTAGGACCCTGGATATGTACCCGAACACGGCACGGGTCGTAGTTTTAGGGCTAGATCTAGCACTAGTACTGTTGTTGTTGTTCGCGCGACGAAATCACAACTTCGTTCCCTACATCTGTCTCATGTAATTCAGTGTATGGGTCTGAATAAACGCACAGGCCAGCTTTTATATTTTCACCAAACACTCACACATGGATACAAATCAAAACAGGACACTTTGAACTTTTATTTTTGTTGTTGTTGTGAATTCCATTCTATCTGTCATGTCGCTGGAAATTTTTCGAAAAATCAAATTCATTCCAATTTTGAAACAATCATAAGAATTAAATTATTAGACCTAGAGAACTTAAAATTTTTGCGATAGATGAAAGTAACTTTACTGTGTCAAAAAATAATTACAATAGGGTAATTCTGAGAGTTGTGGTGGTGTTTTGACATACCCCCCAAAATGCCAGTACTCAGCGCTAGTGATTTGTGAAAGGGGCAAGTAGTCAGTGAGTTAATGACTGAAATTTTTCATGGTTTAGGTTATAGTTCATATTTTACTATATTATGTTTGGCACCGTGGACAATGCAGGCAAGAATGATTAATTTAATTTATTTTTTCTCCAGGCTCGGCTCTCAGTATTTGCTGGAGCTAAACAAGTTCTCGCGAACTGCCTTCAGCTCCTGGGCCTGCCACTGGTGGATAAAATGTGACCTTCGTGAGATAGCTAGCTTCTGTATAAATTTGAAATTCCAGCTATAGCTTTGTCTTCGTTGTATATTTGTTCATGTTTCTGTTGATCCCGACTTATTCTAAAGCTCAGCTTCAACTTATAGTAAATATAAAGCTGGATCACTGCCTGTCTGGGCCAAGTTTGACACTTGTCTCAAGTTTAGAAAATTACATCCCCTGATTCACTTTATGTTAGAATGTCAACAGCTGTCTTCAGTTGATAAATTCAGTCCATGCAATGTAAGGGTTTGTCTTTGCAATAGAAGAGGGAAATCTGTTTTTTTGGAAAGATTGGATTGAAAAATCAATCAAATAGTGAAAGTATATGTACTTGCGCATTACTGCTTTAGTGTCACTAATATGAATCTGATAATTCGGGTGATGAATATATGCAAATGGGCTTAGCTCTCAATTTAGACAGTTGCTTTTAATATGTGATATCATCATATTCAACGTCTTACGTCTGGCATTTGAATATATGGCTTTAGTTCACCTCCCGAGAAGACAATATAGAAACATATCTATTCCTGCCCAAAGTGGGCATGGCACACAACTTGCTGAGCTGAGCTGCAAAGGAAACTAGGCCCAGCGAACACATACAGGCAGCTGAGGCTATTATTAGTAACCATGTGAAATTAGTGGTGGTAACATTACACTTTATAGGCTATCATTATTTTGAACCAGTGCTGAGTACGAAATAATTTTAAGATGTTGTTCTGATCCACTTCAATTTCTCGACTCAAACTTTGCTGACTGGTATGTGGGAATAAATATGATTTTACTCTGCCCTGTCTGTATGTGAGTGTTTGTGTGTGTGTGAAAGGGCGGGGGGGGGGGGTGTGTTTATGCAATAAAAGAGGTGTGCATTCTTGACAGCTTCCTGTTGAGGGGAAATGAGTTGGCTGTATATATTCTGCTGTTCAGCAATTAGAAAGTGTCAAGGAGTTTGTCAATCACTGTTTTATTTTATAAAAAGGGTAAACTATTATCTGTAAGACTACCTTTACTCTAAGGTATCGAATAAGCATCCCCCCCTCCCCCCCCCCCGCTCCTTATTAGAATCTAGATATATCTGAATGAAACTTCTTTTTTTGTAAATGGCAAATTACCCTCAATATTAGTACCGGTGCTGGGTTGGCTACCTCAATTTTGTGTGCATTTTACAAACTTTTGTACATTGGTTTATATTTTTTAATGAGACTTTTGTTCCTAAATGGGAAAAGTTGTCACAGTAACTTACTAACATCACAAAAATTTCATTGTCTCTTGTTCTTTTATTCACTGAAGGAGAAATAAAACAGATTTGTTCCAACAAGTACAGGGGTATGAGGTTGAAAGTGCCACCACCCCCCCCCCCCCCATTAATTTTGGACCACTTGTCCCCCCCCCCCTTTATTTGATACCTTGAAGTAGTTGCCTCTCCAGAAATGACGTATTTTAAAACCAAACTAACTGTGATGAAACAAGACGCAAAACATCGAATTGACAAACACAATTTGACTGCTGAGTATTCCATGCCGGCTTTATAAGCACGGTCATCGGGAGAAAGCTTAAGTGTGCATAATGCCGAAGCGTGCTTAAGTGCGAAGTAGACATAATCCAGAGATTTTCATGTAGAAAATTTCCTGTGCTATGTCCCTTTGTTTGTAAGTAGGTCTATATAGCGGTCCTGCAAGTGTGCACTGTTATTTTTACCTGCCATAGTAGTTTTTGTTTGCTTGTTTGTTTTTGTTTTGTGATCGAATGGGAAATGAAAACTTAATTTAGACGACCAGTCATGAAACAGCACACTAGGCCTATACACTGCTTATGCGTACCACTGCCCGCTGTGCCACATTCATACCACCACCTTCATCCCACCTCGCGCGTGATACATAATCAGGATTAATGGATAACGAGGGTCAAAGGTGAAATCGCAGCCAGCCTCCCTTTCTCGTCTCCCCGACTCTCTTTGTATTTTTTTGTCTGTGTGTAGCTCCGCCCTAGGCTAGATCCTATGTCCACGCGCGCGGCTGTGTGCATCTCTCTGCCTTCCTCTCCGCTCGTGTGAGTGTGCGTCTCCATCAGTTGTGTTCTTTGTGTTTCTCTTAACACACTCCACTGCTGCGGTGTAGACTGTGTTCGAACTCTGATGGGTCATCCTGAAAGTATTGACTGTCTTGTAAGTGAAGCGTGCCTGAAGCCGAAGTTACCGTGCTTAAAGGCGTGTAATTTATATAGCAAAAATTCGGTAAGAGCCATTTAGCGCACTTGAGTCCGAAACGTGCTTTATGCCTGCGAGCTTAAAGCCGGCACGGACTGTATAAGACTCCACCATACACTATTTTGAAAAATGACATGTGCTGGAATCATACATTGCAGTAGCAAGAAAAACGATTAACTCCGTTTCACACTGTCTTGCAGGGTTAATAAGAGACATTGGAGTTGCTCATTATTCTTTGGTTTAGTGGTAAGGCTCTCTGACTCACAACCGTAAGGTCATGGGTTCGAATCCCGCCAGGGGCTCGACGTTGTGTCCTTGGGAAAGTCACTTTGCACAAATTTTCCTCATTTCACCTAGGTGGGAATGGGTACCCAGCTATACGCACTGAAATATCTTGTCAGTTTCTTAGTGTCTGAAACTGAGAATGTTTCTGAGTGTTTTAGGGCCTGCTGGCGTAATAATTTAGGTAAAGTGCATAGAGCTTGCTGTCGAGCAGGGGTATGCACTATACTATACCATTGCTATTTATTATTCAATAAAAATTATTATTATTACAGACAGCAACAACAATACACGCAGCTGAAAAATTGAAAAATACAATTTTTCGTTGTTAACATCATGTTGTGTCATTTATTAGCATCCATAGCTCAATGACTATACATGTACATAAATGTAAGATAAAGACATAATAACTAAAACAAATGTGGTGACAATGACAGGTCTATACATGGTGACAGTATGATTATAATGGACCATTACAAAGTACGCTCGGTTTAAATTTCAAATGAACAATACTTACAACAGGATAAAACTGAGCCATTTTCCACAAACAATTTTTATCAGTTTACTTCGCAGTTCAACTTCAAGTGAAACGTGCAAAAGTATCTTGGTTGCTTTCAAAACAAGTTTCTTGTTTTAAGCACTACAGAGAGAAAAAAAAAGAGACGTTCACAGATTTTCTGCACTTTCCTTAAAATATTAAGGGAAATTAGTTTTTACAGTAGTTTTATACTCAACTGGTGAAAAAAAGTACCCACAACATATTCACACAACTTCCTCCTATTTCAGTTACAGAAAATGTCATGTTGAAAAGATACAAGTACAAGTCATTAGATTTGCAGACTTGCAAGTTTAGTCTAATGTACCATGTCATAATTTACAGTATCAGTGGACTACAAACAAAGTAATGCAAGAGCAGAGTACAAATCTCGACTCATCCATTTTCTTAAACACTTGATAAACAGTTTTGTCAAAGACACTAAGTTGTATGAACTCTCTGTCTATAGAGGTTACAGTACAGCCTGCTGAGTTTAGATGCTGTTTCAGCAGTCACAACATCATTTTTTTCTCAGGTTTCTCACAACATTCCTCACTTTGGTGAAATTGAACAAGAAAACACCTGTTCACAATGAGAGCATGTGCAAGCATCTAGCTGAGGAAAGTAGAAAAAAAAGAGCCCAGAGACTAATAGATTGAGAGATGTGTGTTAAGGGTATGCTGTCCAACAGAACCCATTTTTACCTTTTCATTACAATATTTTGAAAATTGATGTCAGCCAAAGTTTGCTGTGCAGAGAGTGAGGTGTCAATAGACAAAGACAGTCGTAAATATGTTGTGATTGTGGCAAGACTTTGACACTACTGACACAGTTTAGTATAGCATAAGGGTATTAAACCTCTACAGTGGGCCCCACTTACAACAGTTGTGGTCATAACAGGATTCTGGCTATAGCAGGGCGAAATTACTTATAATAAATCCTAGAGTCCGATCTTTCATAATATATAATAAAGTTCTTTCATAGTAATCATAGCAAGCGCTCGGACGGACATTCTTGACTATAACAGTGGCCCAGCCATCAACAAAATCCTAACATGAACAGACAAAAATGGAGGAAAAAAACAAAACAAATGATGCCAAACAACAGCCAACATTTATGGTGAATTGGACCTACTCGATCTACACCATGCCCAAGTTCATTGTGTACACATTTTATGATGTGTCATACAGTGTGTATGGGAGGGAGAGGGAAAGCTGGACACACTTTGGAATTGATGCAAATCCAGTCAGTGAATCTGGCACCACATCTTCACATTGTCTCCCCTTGGTAGTGTTGGGCAAAGAATTGATTCTGGAACTCATTTGCACGATTGTTGCAACGAAAGGAAAGAACTGATCTCTTTAACAGTCGGTAACTTTACTTATTGTTTACTTATACTTATAATAAATTTTTCTTTCTAGAATTTATTTTAAAAAAAAATAATGTTGGTGCCTTGCTGAGGTCTGAAAGTGAAATCAAGGTCATCCCGAATCTTGATACAATGTTTTCTACAAAAGACATAAGAAGAAGAAACATGCCAAGGTCAAACATGCCAAGGTCAAACATCCTGATGCAGTATAAGAATCTACCAGAACAGGATCTGAAGCTGAATGTGCTGGAGCTACAGATCCTTTAAACACTTGTTCTCAATCAGGTCAGAGGAGAACAGTGCAACCAACCCTTGCAACTTTTCAAGAACAGAAAGCAAAGTATCCAGACGGCTCTACCAGGAAACCAGACCTCAATCGTAGTCTTGTGACAATGATTGTCAAAGATTTACAACCTTTTTGCAATTGTCCACGATTCTGGTTTTACTCACTTTGTAAAAGCTCTGAATTCCAGATATGTCCTCCCAAGCAGGCGGACAATCTTGTACTCTATCTCACAGCCAATGCGAGAAGAAAAGGCAAAGGTAGCTCTCGACCTCCGACAAGCTGATACTGATAACATAGCAATAGCAACAGACACCTGGATGTCCCGAGCTACAGACTCGCACATCGCAGTTACTGCCCATTTTATTGATGCTACCTGGATGTTGCAATCTCATACTTTTGGACACTGCCGTGCTCACAACTTCACACAGTGGTGACAATATAGCTGCAGAGCTCCGAAGTGTTTTCAAAGAGTGGCAGATCCAGGACAAGGTCTGTTGCATAGTCACAGACAAGACGGCAAACATGGTCAAAGCTGTGAACAGTTTACGGCACCTACATTTGCCATGCTTCGCACACACCTGAAATTTAGCAGTCAAAGATGCTTTGAGCAAGGTAGACAGTGTCAAACAAGTTGTTTACAGAATCAAGACAATAGTCACATTTTTTCACCACAGTGTGCAAGCACCCAGAGCAAAAGTTGCTGCAAGATGTGGAGAGACGATGGAATTCAACATTCTACATGTTGGAGAGCTACTGCCAAAAACAGAAAATGATCACATTAACACTTGGCTGGTTGGACAAGAGCAGCATGCTTCTTACAACTGAGGAAAACAAGGGAGCAGAACTTGCTGTAGCTGCTCTTCGCCCTTTTGAGCAAGCCACAACTGAAATGAGTGCGGAGAAGGTGACATCCTTATAAAAAATCATTCCCATAAAAAGAGGGATACAGGAGTGCCTTTCTGCTTGTTCAGAGGTGAAAGACTTTGAATTAACAGACAGTCTTCAGAGAGCACTCAGAAACAGATTTCCAAACATGGAGTCGAGGTCTGTCAATGCCACCAGTACTTTCTTTTTTCTTGGACCCCAGGCTCAAGTATTTAGTTTTCCAGTCAAGAAACTGGTTTGAGGAAAGCAGAAGAAGAGAGAATGACGTAAATGAGGAACAGGGAGCCACAAACACCTCCCATCTCAGCGCAGTAACGACAGCTACGCCAGTTCAAGAACCACCAACGGCAGGAATATTGGCTAAGTTTTTATCTGAACGTTCAACAGCACAGACCTCAAACAAGCCAACCAACCATCAGATCATATACATTGAACTGACTAGATTCAAACAAGAGCAAGTAGTACCCAGAGAGAGAGAGAGAGAGAGATCTATTGTCTTGATGGAGATACAAGGAGTCTCTTTTTCCTAAAGTGAATTATGTCGCAAAACACTATCTCTGTATACTTGCTACATATGTGCCCTCAGAACGGTCGTTTTCAAAGGCAGGAAAACTTATTTCTCACAGATGAAGTGGCATATCACCCCAAAATGTGAACAAAACTTTGTTCCATAATAAGAACATCAGAAAGTAGAACTAAGCAACCCCCCCCCCCCCCCCTGTTACCCTTTATAAGCCACACTGGCCTAAACCAGCCTTCCCATCATGTTGCCATACACCGCCTTTTACCAGCTTTCCTCTTGTAGAGCCATACTGGCTTTAACCGGTCTCTTTTGAGCAGGCTTAGAAATAAGAACATTCCACTCTAAATTTATATTATATGCTGACATCCTAGGTCTTTGCATACCATCTTGGGATGTGTTATTGCTTACTTTGGAATAGCCACATCAGGAAATGAGGTCAAAACACAGGAAAAACTTGAAGACAAAGAGAGTCTTTGGATGCGTAAGTTCCTCGAAAACAATAGCAACCCTCATAGTTGATGATGTTTTTAGATGAAACTGAGTGAGATTTTTATTTCCAAGCTTGAGGCATCGCATGGAAAAGGCATTGTTTGCGTTCCAACAAAAAACGATAAAGGTGCTAGAAAAGGGAAGATAAAGATGAGGAGAAAAGAAATATGACTGAAAAGAGAAAGGAGCAATGACTGATAAATTGGCAGAGTGCAACCTACGTAATAAAAACGACCCCATTTGCGAACCACTGGCCTGTGGCAGTTTCTGAAAACTAATTGATCCCCATCAGTGACTGGATTCGGGGGTATTATGTCAGTGCTGGCTGTCCTGTTAAAGCCTGGGCCCACTGTAGCTGAGTCCACCCTGGAGTTAAGTCCCCCCTGCCAACACAACTTTGCAGCCCCAAAGGAAAACTCCTGGCTTAACAAAAACCCAGGAAGATTTTGGTTTTTACAGTTCCTTGAAGTTTCATAACGCGCTAACTTAGATTATAAAGTTCTATCTGACATTTTTGGTCGTTTTGAGTTAATAAGACCATGAGGTCAGAAACCAAATGTTCTATCTGCTCTATCAAAATTGTAAGATTATTTGGAGTCGTTATTAAGATATTCTATGAACTGCATTCGAAAAAGCTTGAAATCTTGGGAAACTCAAAATTTTTAAGGTCAAATTTCTCAAAACAAGGTATTGAGCAGATAGAACTTTATGATTCTAGGGTAGTGAACTGAAGCATTTACACAACCCCCCCCCCCCCCCCCCCCCTCCCCATGAGGCAACAAATTTTAAATCATGCCAAAGGGTATCTCTGGGCATCTGGTCAACAGGCCTTGTAATGGGGGGAGAGACGAGGCTACAGAGGTCAAGAGGTCACAAGACTTGACAGTCACACTTGGCCCACATTGGCTTGGCAGTGATCTGTGAACATGTGGAAAAATCACACTTTAGCTTGAAAGATAAGAGGGAGCTAAATAAAAGACGGAATGAAAAAGCCATTTGTTTCAGAGAAACTTTGCTTTTATATGTTATTTCAAGGCATATGGATCTTCTATAACAATAATAAGAAAACCTCTACAGGGAGAACATTTGAGTGTTTATGTAAAATTCAACTGGTGCATCAATGAAATTAATTGAACCAATCAGGAAAAAAAAACAAGAGAAAGTGAAGCTGTTCAGTACAGAGATGGGTGGGTGGGTAGGAGGGATGGTGGGAGAAATAGAAATGATAAATAAAAAATCCTCTCCAGTTTGGGCATTAGGTCTGTTAAATGGATATTATTTCAAAATCTGATAGATTGGTGGTCACTTACTGATGAATTCTGACACAGGATCCTTGCCGTCACTGGTCCTGAGAGTGTCTGTGATGGCTTTGTTCTCGATCAGAGGAAGCAGAAGCTGTACAAACTCCACTGTGTAGGGCGGGGCAATCATGTCCAGAAGCTTCGACGAGAGAGTGAGGGAAAAGGAAAAATACACTAAACAGTGCGTGTGTATGATATACACATGGTTTAAGCATTCTTTTACCTCTGGCGTTGACCAGATGACAAGGACATGTGGTTACTTGAGGGAAGCATTGCGCTGCCAAGAGCGAAAAGCTCCCAGCTAAAGGGATTTGAAAACAGCAATAAGCATTCTTTTTAGTTTTCTCAAAAGATTATTTACAATCTTTCCTTACAATACTCAGGAGGAGGGGGGGAGGGGCTGATTAAATTCAATTCTACACCATAGAATGATACTTGCAGTCGATTTAATTGTTCGTTGACATTAGGAGAGTTGAAGTCTTGAACAGCCTTATGTCAAACGCTGCCAAAAAATCCCCCCCATAAACAACTGTCATAAAAAAAAAAAATACTGAATGTCCTGAACGCTCCACATTTTCCAAGCTTCTTCATCGTAAGCTTTAAAAAAAAATCTCCTCACCCCAACCCGCAAGCTCTCCCTACCTCTGTAACAAAGTGCCTGACTAGCGAGATGTCCGTGTCCTCCACACACTTGGTGATGAAGGTCACCACCGGGATGACACAGCCTTTGTGCAGCAGGTGAAGCATTCGGTCCAACAGCATCTTCTTTAGCTCCAGCTGGGGACAAAGGAAAAGGGTCAAGCAAGTAGTGTAAACATGGCGCGTGAGCCGCCTTACAGCCTTCTGAGCGTGTAGTTTAAGTAAAATCGAGCGTGTAGTTTCAGTAAAATCGGGGTAATTCAGAGAGCCCTTTCTTTTCTCTGTTGCAAAAAACCCCCCCAAAATGCTGTACACTTTGACAAAGTTCAGCCTTTCCTCATTATGTAATGGTGTAAGTTGTTTGTATGTTTGAGAATTAGCAGCGGGAGAACCACCATGGAAAGCGCAACCCCTCAAAGTTGTGGGTTCAAACCCCATTACAGGCCCAACAATGTGTGTACGGGAAATTCACATTACACACATATTCCTCAGTTCAGCTAGATGGGAATAGCTACCTGGCTAGAGATGACAAAAAGATCTTGTCAGTTTGATAAAGTCTGAGTGCTTAATTGGCTGCTTGTACTGTATGCTTCCCGTGAAAGTTTCTTGGTATTCTGGGGTCTGCCGTGTAATTATATATGGCTTGTAAAGTGCATACAGCTTGCTTCTGAGCAGAGATACACAGCACAAATGCTATTTACTGTTATTAGTACTATGTCATCAAAACAACTTTTTTCAACAAACAAAATGTTTCAACAGAAGTCTAAATAAGCAAAAAACATTTTCCAGTTTTTAAACACGATAATGGTAATGAAAATTCAATTCAAAATTAAACAACCAACAAGCAATACCCCACAGAAAAAAAAAAGAAAGAAAACTGTATTTAAAAAAGTAACCAGATCATCATTCCTACAGCTGTGACAAGAACTGGTCGCTTTTAAGCACAAGGGACTATCCTGAAAAAAGATGTTTTGAGAAAATCGAGGTAAATGTTTTTGCCCCTTGTTCAGTTTCTTTAAAATTCAAGGAGATTTTTCTCTGTAACCTAACAAATATACACACCAATGAAACCAAACTTATCCTATAGGTAGGGCAGTGCCCACTTTTGGTGTAGGTCAAGATTTCTGGAAAACCCCAAAATTGGGGTTAGCCCGCTTGTCCTTAAAAGCGACCAACTGATACAAGAAGTTGAGACAGTGCAGACCATGTCTCTGAAAAACACGCAAAGGCCACTCTAACAACTTACCCTGACCAGCACGTCCAGCTCATCGTAGGTGTTCTCAAAGAGCCTCACAAGCAATTCTAGGGCTTTCTGGTGTAACAGGGGGTGATTGGAAACAATCTGAAACATAAAGGAGACAAAATTATACAAACTAACACAACGCACTCTGTCACCATAATGCAGAATCTTGCTTTTGAGATGGTGTTAAAATGTCATCCTCGAGGGTCCAGTGACCACCAACTGTTATTTTACATTGGATAGTGCTGACTTAAATCATTTATATATATATATATTCAAAAGAAAGTTTTAACTTTAAATGTAACAAACAGGGTAGCCATGGTGAGTTTGCTGAGTTGTATTTTACTAAAAACTAAAGCCAAGTTTGCCATCAAGAGATAACAGGAATAATAGCAACATTTAGTTTGAAAAAATACAAGTAGCAGGCTACATCAAGGCCCCTCCAAACCACCCATAGCTACAGCAAACTCACCTCATCCACCAGTACCAGATGCAGTGGTGTGTGGTCAGTGTTCAGCTTGAAAAAGTTGGGTTCTGACACCGTAACATCTACCCAATGGAGAATGCCCATGCCTACTACTGGAAATCTGGGGATGATAATAAACGAATAACACACAGTCCGATAATATTCTAAAAGAAACCTAGATCAAAAGTTCTTTACTCATTTAATTGTGACCTTTTCTTCCAGGCACAACACTCTAAATACTCAAGTTTTAAATGCACAAAAAAAATCTATAAAAGTAAAACAGCTACAATGTAATCAAAAATGAAAACTTCAAACAAGACAAAGCATATCATGTTGAGAGGGACACAAAAATCAGATTTTATTTTACACCAGTTTTTCAAATAAAGAAAAGTTTCACAAGTGTGAAGACATAGAAAAATGCTGATAAGCACCAAACATGAAATAAAGCTGGCCTACATATATATACTCAAGTTCCAGAAGTCAGAGGTTTATTAAATTATTCTTACAGGCTCATTTTCACAAAAGTTACTGCAAGTCGTTTAAGATGATTTTGCGTTTGTAGACCCACAGAATGACCACAGAGACACACTGACTAACTCAAATCTAGAACTCTAGTCAGCATTGAAAACTCGAGGTTCTTTGTAATTCTGTTTCACTCAGCCTAACTTTTTCTACTGTACCAAGTACCAGTATTTTTAGACGGTGAGGAAAAGGAAAAGGGTTAACAAACAACTCACTTGATACAGGTGAAGAGAGTGGTAACTTCTGCAATCAATTCTGAAGAACCTTTATGACGGCATATCAGCGAATGTGTCTTCTCAATCGCTTGACTTGTGGACTTCAGCTCTTCTTTGTTCAGTCTTCTGTCTAGTAAACGAGAAATAGTCCATCGGACATTTACAACAATTCACCTTTAATCAAGATTCTAGATTAATACATAATTTACCACCATATATCCATATTTTGTAAGGTCATTCATTATAACCAATGCAGTTACATATATTTATCAGGATTCTCCCTTAAAACGGGTTAAATATTCTTCACGCTTCAAAAGTTAACTTCATATTTGTTATCAGCTCTTTGTGGCTAAATGTTATTTTGACCAGTATACCGATTGATATTCAAAAGGCACCAACCAGATACGTATTTGTACCCCTTGTGTCTCCACAAAATATATTACTCCTGAAAAGTTAAGGAGATGAAAATTTGCAGATGATACTTAAGTATAGCTACAGGTGCTGGTAGGTATAATTAGACTGTTGTTATGAAGCCTCAGCAACATTGAGCCCTGAAATATCTGCAGCACAAACGTTAATTTCCACTTACTAGCTCTTTGGCAGTTATGTAAAATCTCAGGTCTGTAGTTAATGCCAGAGCTATTATGTGAACGTAGTGCTGACCCATAACACTAAAATTGCATGAAATTCTACACAGCTAATATAAAACATTTGACGTGGACAGAGTCAAACTCGCAAACAGTGATCCAGGTGTCAACAATATTTTCTTCTTTTTTTTCTCTGCCTCAAAAGTGGGTAAAGAGCCCCACATGCTTGTACTTTTGTACATACAACTCGAAATGACACTTTTTCAATCTACAGTACAATAGGCATTATATTAGAAAACTGTTGCAACTGTCAATTTTAATTCACTCTTTTCCCTTTCCAGTTTGATTGTAAATACCGACACAATTTTGATCATATAAAGGTGGCCTACTTCGACCCTGTCAAGGACAATCTAGGCAGAGTGAAATATAGCATCCTCGCAAGATACTCCATAAAATAGCCTCCCCACTTTGCAACTGAACTCTTGTCTTGTGTGTGCAATGGTGAAGAGCCCAATCATTACAACGTTAGATACATGTTTCCTTTCAACCCTGGTTATTGATTTATTGTGAGAACTTACTCTTCCCTCTGCGCTGTGACTCGACAACACTGACGGAGTAAGCCAGGAGGTAGATATACTTTGACATGTGTTCTGGGTTGATGCGATGAGATGGATTATACAGGGCATCAATCAGAAGATCTGAGAAGTAAAGAAAGGGTTGACACATAATATACATGTGACCACAGAGATAAAGTGATTATTTACAGTAGAGTATTCCTTCTGGCAGAAGGCTCACAGATCTTCCATTCCGCCATAATCAGTCCCTCACTTCTAACACACGATCTAGTCCTTCAACTAGAATACAGTTTAGCAGCCTGTTAGACACATAGCAATATGTCCTCAGACTCCACCACTTATCAATATTATTCTATTTCCATCTGTGCTGATTGCAAATTTTGTTTCGTAGCTGGAAGGAAGAAAAGAGGTTCAAGTACCCCTCTAAGGATACAGTATTATATCCTGGAAATAAAGAAAACTGTCACAGTTGTTTATAATGTTGATCCAGCAGCTTATGGCATTTTGCACCCCCCTTTTTGGGGGGTTTTAGTTAAAGTTTTACAGCACCTGCAACACAATTAGGTCATATAAGTGCCAAAGATTAAAAGTATTACAAGAGAGTAACAAACAAAAAAAAGGAGGAGAGATAAGGATGATAGATGTTTGATAGGAAAGAAGGAGCAAACCACACCACAGCACCCGCCAACCAAGTGCGATTTTGCCCTTCGGTAGAGAACCAAACAGTGACACCTTCAGATCTTTAGGTGTAGCAGAACTAAGTCATTACACTCTGAGCATTGTCTGGGACTGTTTGTGAGGAAGGAATATGCCATAGTAGGTTTCAGGGAGCAGACCAGTCCGACAAGAGAATTTCAAATCCCCCCAGGTTCCACACATATGGCATATGATTCTTGTACGGCTCCTTTTCTCTATAGGTGATGGTAAGTGAGGTAAGCTGAGACCTCAGGTACAGACAAAAAAATGATAGCAGAAGGCGTGGTAACTAATTTTGTTATCATAGACCCAGGATAGAACAGGCTTTTGCTCTTATGTCAAAAGCTAAATAGTGGCATATTAAGGCTTTCCTTAATAAATTAGTAAGTAAAACGTGACAGAAGCTTGTGCTTACCTAGAAACTCAGGAACTCTGATCAGGGCAACGGGAGGACCTGCCTTCTCATTGTCAGAGTACATCTTGAACAACTATGGATACAAAATGTAAGTGTAAAAATATTCATAAATCTCAGAAACCATGAACGTCCACAAATTTTGCAGCAAGTAGCAGTATTCTAAAGTGCTAGAATGTAAAACATTCTTACTTTAGGCAGTATTGTTTGTTAGTTATACACTCTGTCCTATACATGATGACCTTGTAACTCTGTTGACTATGAACACACGCTCTTTTGACTATAAAATAAACTGAAACTAACATCAAGTTAACTTAAACGATAAGAGGACAATCTACCTTATTATCATTGATATTGACAATTGTAGTTCACAACCTTTAACAGACTTTTGTTTAAAACTTCTTCATAGAATTAAAACTCCTACAGATTCAAAATCCATATAAACAAAACAAAAAATGGACTGATAATCACAGAGAGAGAAAGTAAGTCCACATAAACATTATTGAGCTTACGACAGTGATATCAGCTGGATTGAGGGCTTTTCTGGATAACATTGAGGACAGCGCTTGGCATGCTCGAGGGTACTCGTTAGCGTGGCTCAGGGCGACGGTGATGGGAGTCACATCCAAACCCCTGAAAAAAAAAGAACAATAAGAGGGTAAGAATCTCACAAATTGTCATACCATGAATCAGACAAAAGAGTATGAAATTGATCACTTGCTTTGAAACTGGAGCAGTTCAGTAAATGTAATATATCTTAAATTGTTAAATATTACTTTCAATGGGGGAAAAAAAAAGTGAACAGCAGAGAAAAGAAATATGTGACGTAATACATATATATGTGAGGCATCATCCTGAAATTAGGTGCTCATCAAAATAAAGAAATCGAAGAAACTGGCATTTTTCTGTCAATTTGGCAATTTTTATTGAATTTTTGGGCTTTGACTCAACACCTTTAAGATCCATTTGAAAACACATTTCTGTCTGGACTTTGATGAAAATGTTGATTTACAGCACAATAACGTAAATTTGCAGTATCTAAGGATTCTCAAGCTTTGGAAGTCCCCGAACTTTGGAGGCCATTTTCTTGTTAATTTTACCTCTGAAATCAGGCGACCCCCCTTCTCCTTCAAGCGCAAATATTTCGACTTCTATTCCTGATAGACGAGCTTTTTTCCACCGAAAGTAAGACAAATGAACAAGCTTTAAAATGATACAAATAACTCCACATGTGCAAAAGTTGACGAGCGCCTGATTCCACCATGTCGTGACACATATTTTCCTTGCTGTGTCCAGCATTATTCTCATGGACTCTAGCCCTAATTTCATTACGATTAAGTTAAAAAAACAAAACACATCAAAGCTATTTTATTTCAACAGAGTACGGTCCAATGAAATCTATTAGCTGACTGAATGTGTCCAACAAGAATGGAAGTAAATGCCAGTTTAAATGAAGGGAAGCGTTGGTCACGGGTTTTGGTGTATTTCGCTTCTTATACTTCTTTCCAAAAATTTGATCTATTATATCATATATCTTTTATTCAACAAATTCAAGAAAGGGGAATGAACATCAACTAAATGGCAGCACTAGTAAGGTGTACTTGGATCTTCATCTTGGACGTGGATTTTTTTTTCACTGTAGGGAATTAACTCCTCAATACAATCCCCACCCTCACCTAAAAAAAAGTAGAAATGCCTAGAAAAACCAACAAAACGACAAAGAACACAAAAGCTACAAACAGAAATAATAATCAATTCTATAACAGCTAATGAGCTTCTGAACAGTCCATACACCCCATGCACCTAAAAAAAAAAGGCTGCAGCAAAAACGTTCATAATAAACTATACATAACAGGGGCCTCACTTCTCTACAGCAGATTTTTGCAGCTCCTGACACAATCTCTTCATGTTGGCTCCACCCTGAGAGTCCTCAGCTGCCAAGTGCATCAGCAGCTGACTGTACAGGTATGTGTGCTCTCCATGGCAAACCATTTTCTGAACAAAACCAAAACATACAAACCTCATCAAATTTTCTACATGCAAGAAAACTCTTATTTTTTTGTTTTAGTGCACTTGCAGCACAATTAGGTCATATAAGTGTCAGGGATTAGAGGTGTTACAAGACAGTAACAAAAACAAAAAGGAAGGGAGAGATAAGGATGTTAGATGTTTGATAGGAAAGAAGGAGCAAACCACACTAGAGCATTCGCTAGTTTAATTTTAGTATGAGTTTTACGGCACTTGCAATACAATAAGGTCATATAAGTACCGAAGATTAGAGGCGTTACAAGCGAGTAACCAACACAAAAAAGAAGGAGGGGAGATAAAGACTGTAGACATTTGAAATGAAAGAAGACGCATCCACTAACCACCCACAAAAACATTTAGAGGAATTAAAGATTTTGCACCCAACAAAAAAGAATAACTGATGTAAATATGACCGATGCAGAAAAATATTAAGAAGAAAAGCTAGGTCTACACTTTACTTTGTACACTTATGCCATTTATTTTTATATTGCAATATGGTGGAACCTGTTCTTATTTCAGATAGTACGACTTCAGCACAATTCAATATGTGAGGCATTGTGATGAAATGAGGCGCTCGTCAAAAAAATGAAATCGAAGAAACAGGCAACTCTCTGCCGGTTTAGAAATTTTTATTAAATTTTTGTTTCTTTTTCTTCTTGGCTCAACTTGTTACACATCCAATTAAAAATATATTTCGGTGTGGATTTTACGGAAAAATGTCGCTTAAAGGCATAAAAAAGTAGATTTTTCTGTTTCCAAGGACTCTCCAGCTACTGAAGGTACCAAACTTAGGAGGCCATTTTCTTGATAGTTTTACCTCTGAAACCAGGCTTCGCCCACCTCCTTCAATCACAAATATTTTGACTTCTATTCAGGATAGATGGGTATTTCTTAAAATGATTCCATATGCCCAAAAATTGGCGAGCGCCTGATTCCGCCCGGTCGTGACACATATGTCAATAGCGAATGTTTTAAGGTTAGTTTGAACTTTATCCACAGGATGTCACACCCACCCCAAGAAGAACACAATAGATAGTATCATCTGTCAAGAGATAGAAGTGTATCTGAGTCAGTAGTGTCTGTGGGGCTCCTTTAATCCTTTTTCATTTTTGGCGCCAAATTTTTTAATTTGCTAAAGCAATAGCCTGGTCATTTACCCTACTCGTGTGAAAAAATCAAAGTGAAACAATAACTAGTTTTTGAATAAATTAAAATTAAAATTTCGGAAGAATACCTTTTCTTAAATGGCTACACTGACAAAATGCCTTTTTTCTCGAAACTACTGTGAATAAAAAATAAGGCGTGTTGTCAGCTGATGGTAGCACTTCGTACTACTGCAACCATGACTTATGGTATCATTGGAATCAGTTTAGAAAGATTTTAGCTGTTCGGTCTTAGAGTTTTATTGTCACAACCTTGATGACAGTGGTCTAGATTTCACACTCATCTGTGGTCAAAGTTCGCAACTGTCTACTTCCCAGTCAGTCTTCCTAAAGCCAATTAGAAGGTCAAGTTTAACAAAAGTTAAACCCAACCAAAATCAAAACCAATGGTCGAATTCAGTGACACTACTTTTAACTGTTATTACACGGAACGAGATAAAAATATACCCCCGAAATTTTACTTTCCTTAACATGTTCAAACACAAAAACTAAAGTTAAAAAAAAAGAAACAGTCCAAGTGAGAAAACAAAGAGTACAATAATACTGAAAAAGGACAAGTACTTGCAACTAACCTAAGGAAAAGTCAAAGTTCATATTTGAGTTTGATAGCATGTCATATTCAGTCAAAAGGAAAAGCAGTATCCTCAGTACCAAATTTGTCCAGGTTTATACTATTTTTGTAAATTCTCCCTTTTGCATATTAAAAAATATATACTTTACCTAGGGGAAAAAAAATAAAAAATCTTGACACTGAATGCAACCAAGCTCACCGTGAATTCTGGCAAGTGCTTGGTTAAGGCTTCTTCCCCACCAGAAAGAAAAGACGCAACAGATGTCTTTAGCACTCTGGAGAACACTTCAATCTGGTGGCAGGCTGTGGACACTGAGGTAATTTCACCTTGGAAACCAGCATCAGAGATCATCTGTCGAGTCACATAGATAATAAAACGTAAATAAACTGTATACTAAAGGGTAGATATGTCAAAGAAGGTTTAAGAAAAGCACTGAATTGTCTTTAGCACAGTTGTCTGAAACAGCCACCTCTTTTTTACACATTGCAGCAGATCTGCTGCTGGCAAGCACAAGCACTTCAAAGCCCAGCAAAATGCTGTGAGCTTTGGTTTCACTGGACTAGATGCTCAGTGGTCATTATATTATGAAGCACAGTGATGGGACTGAAGCCTTTTGCTGCCGTTTTTGAGACATAAAGGGATACAAATACATCATGACAGGGAAGCATTTATGGAGTATCAGGCTTAGCCCAACATTTCTGCACGCTGACAATCCCCCTTTATTTCCAATTTCAGTGGAAAATTCTCCTTATCCTATTATCCCTTGCATTGAGTAAATTCATCAACAGATAAATCCTTTTCTTTTTCCATCCATTTTTATTGTATTGAGCTCTTTTCTTAATTTAATATAAATGATACTTTTTTCCTCTCAAGACTTTATTAGCAATTTGCAATTCATTTCAAGTTTCCTTACAATTATCGATTGTGACAAGGTAGCAATACTTACTTTTATTGTGAAGTTAAGCATAAGACAGTCTGGATACTGCTCTGCCAGTTTGTAGAATAAGGATCTCCATGTGGGATGTTGAATCATTTCTGGTAACCACTCGGGCATCTGATGAGAAATTAATTCAAAACCATTATATCGGGATACAGAAAAATTATCTAAAACAATGTGAGAACCAGCTTTGTTGCAGAAAACTATTCAAATCTCATCACCAATACAATTTCATTAAAATAAAAGAAGCCACCTGATTCCCTTTCTATGATTGGGGTATTAAAAAACCATTTGAAGTCTACAAGGGAAAAACGACTAGTCACAAACTGGAAAAGATGAGGGTGCCAATTTTAAAAGCTTGAGGACTCATAACCTCATATCATTTTTTGTATTTGTTTGAGTGGTGATTTATAGTTAAGCGTTGTTGAATGGGAAATCTAACGACAATAATCAACCAACAGTGGAACAGAAATACAGTTATGAGTCAACAAGCGTTCAAAATTGGTACCCTCATCATTTTCAGTTTGTGACTACAGTTTTTTTTCCCCTGCAGTCTTCATTTGTAAAACAAAGAACTTATACTATGAAAATTGTGAATAAAAAATATTATGTTATAAATGAGTTACTTATCGTACTTTTAGTTATCTACACACAACAAAAACTCATACAATATCACTACAGTATCTCACATTGCCGTCACTGTTGAAGATAGAATCTGCTTTCTTTGGGTCGAAATTCTTAATGACCATGCCAGTCAAATGCTGCTCGACCAAGGTTGTCACCTCACTGAAAGGTACACCTGAACAAAATAAACATAGAAAGAATCTCTTAGAAATCAATGAAATGCTGAAAAATCATCTTGGCAGCTGCAAGAAAAGTGTTACCCCCCGGGGTGGTGCTACTGACTGAAGTGTCTTTGGGCATTCCCAAAGGGGGGACATTAATATGTTCTTATGCACAGTAGAATTGTAAATTGTAAATGGGCTGATTCATCAATGTCATGCTCATAACTGTGCCTCAACTGCAAAAGGGAACTGCTGCATTTTCTTTCCTAATCCTTACTATCCTCATTTTTCCTCTACTTCTTTTGTATGTTTGTCACACTCTTGTGATCTGCTATTTCCAGGTTGCCTTGATAGTGGAAACAGACTTTGTGCTGTCGAAACAAGAGAGGTGAGCAGAGTAAGCCCGATTCCCAGTAAGAACTTCTCTGTTGACATCCACCTCCTGGCGTTCATATGGCCTTATGCAGTTGCGAGCGCCGTAAAACCTCCACTAAAACTAAAGAAAAGTGTTAAAAATCCAATCGAACCTGCTGTACAGGATGAGCAAAAAATATTAGAGTAACTCATTTTTCTTGAGACAGCAATGTTGTGAAACCTGGGACAATGAGCATGAAATACATTTATTTCAGTGTCTATAAGTGTATAAAAAATATACACAAACTTCAAAGATAACTAACAGAACCAAGTGATTCTATACTAAGGGCAAATAACAAATGTTACACTTTCTAAAGTATTGTTTTGACAATAACAAACTTCATTTATTCCACAACTAAAAAGAGATTGATTAAAATTGATGACATAATAATAAACCACCAAATTTTAATCAGTGCACATGGTACAAATTAATGAATAGTGAAATGCCTTTAATACACATGCCTGATGACATACACACCACATTTGACAACCACCATTTAGTTTATACATATGACGTCTGCTACAATCTAAAACATTAAATGAAACAAACAGTATAATAAATAATAGGGTTTTATCCCCCCCCCCCCCCCCGGGCAGTGCAACTGACTGAAGTGTATTCCCAAAGGGGGGATATTAACATGTCCTTATGCACAGTAGAATTGTACATAGGCTGACTTATCAATGTCATACTCATACTGTGCCGGAACAACATAGGGAGAACTTCTGCTTTTTCTTTCCTCATCCTTATTTTCGTCATTTATCCTCTATTTTTTAAATATGTTTTTCAATCTCTTATGAACTGCTATTTGCGGGGTGCCTTGAGAGTCGAAGTGGACATTGTGCTGTTGAGGCGAGAGAGGCGAGGAGAGTAAACCTGATTCTTCGTTTGACTTCTCTGTTGACATCCACCCCTTGGCGCTCATATGACCTAATGCAGTTGCGAGCGCCGTAAAACCTTACTAAAACTAAAATATAGGGCTTTCTAACTTATCTTGAAAAATTATCAGAAAAACAAATGTCTGTTCACTAAGCCTGTAGACCTGGATGGCATTTCTGGTGTCAATAGGTGATAATATTACTACGCACCCTTTAAAAACATTGGTTTAATTTTTACAAGGTAGGTGCACTAACTGACCTGTTTGTATGAGCCAGTTGGCCATGACATTGACCATACCAGCCAAAGATGTGAAGTTTGCTGACAACAGCTCCACAACAGTGACAGGAGAACCACCTGCCTGAAGGTACCTGTTAAAAAAAAACAACCCGAAACAAACCAAATCATAAAAATGGGATAAAAATTGTGACATCAATTGACAAACAATAAATTTTCAGACCTCAATACCAAGGCTCAACAGCCACATGTTTTGATAAGCACCCGAGCCCTTCGTTTAAAAAACCCAAAGGTACACGATTCCATTTTTGAAGGCAAGAACCGACATTATCATCCGCATAGACTTGAGCCTTATAAGATGTAGATGCACAGAAGAAGCCTATCATGTGTTCTTTATGCAGTAGCAACAAGAATGAATGACGCTCCAAGTAACAAATTACAGAGCGACACAGAATTTTTCACATATTTTATAATAAATATATATATCATCAAAGTGCTAAAAAACCCCCACCAAAAACCCAATTATCACCTACCTCTTTAAAACACTGAGAACGTTGGACTCCATGATGAAATCCCTCTGAGAAAACAATTCCAAGCACTCAGCTTGGACAGCCTCTGCATCTTCTTCCTCTTCTTCTTCATTTACCTCATTGTCTCTATTGTCGTAACTTGGTGACTGAGGAAAATAAAGAAAAAGATTAAATTTAAAAAAATAGGAGCATAATAATAATTATCATAATAGCTGAAAGACAAAAATATTACTTGAATAAAAAAACCCAGAAAGCCGGCTGTAATTAACAACTGTTTGGAATCCTGCCTTACTTATGGTTAGCAAGCTGAACAAATTAAGTATTATCCCTCACCAGCACCTTCCACATTCTTATCCTCTCCAAACATTCTGATTTATGATTTAATCACTAAAGTATAACGAATAACGACTTCAGTCAAACCTGCCTTGAAGTTAACGGTCACCTCTGTACAGTGGTTACCTGTACTATCGGCCACCATTCCATGACACCACCGTGTTTTTTCTGTACTTTTAACTTCCTGTCGATAGCGAACCCTGTTCTACACAGCCACAAAGTCTGTCATTTTTGCGACACGTTGGCCTGAACACCTGCTCATAACAGCCACTTGCTACAAAAGTTTTGGATCAAACCATCCTCAGACTGAGAGTGCACATTCAATCAATGATCAGAATGCAAAGAGTCTGTTGACAGTATTTTCTTTTGAAAAGTTCTTGTGATAGATTTTGATGGAAATGAAATGGAAAGATAAAATTGTGGTTTCAGATTTTAAACCATTTATTGACTTTGCCAAGTCTCACTGAATCAAGGGTGTTACAAGTACAATCACAAAAAAAGCCCACAGTAGTTTCTGTTTACAAATGAAATAAGTGACCATAAATGTGGTCCTGTCCATAGTGGCCACCCATCTATATTGGTCACCTGTATTATGTGATCTTGAGTGACCAATGTTAAGAACAGTTTCGACTGTATTTGATCAGAGAAATCACCACAATCAAATTGTAAAATCACCCAGAAATATTGCATGGCAGTTATAGAGGTCCATTTATCAGGACCTAGCTCGATTTAGAAAGTTGTGAGTAAACTGAATGGTAGGCCTACACTTTGCATGATTCGCTACTTTCAAACCGAGGAGCAATTTCTTTCTAAAAATAAAAACAAAAATTTTTAAATTACAGCTTCCCTATGAATTTTTATCAACTGCAGGGGAGAAAGTGAAATAGGCCTTAATAGAAGTCTGCATTCTAAAATAATGGGAGTAATGGGGAAAAACCCATTAAAAAGACATGACAAGAGAAGTTTGCAGTTAGAGGAGGCCTATATAAAATAAAATGTGTCACGGTGTGGAGAAATCAGGCGCTCGTCAATTTTTGGGTAATATGGGGTTATTGGTATCACCTTAAAGCCTATTCATTTGCCTTCCTTTTGGTGGAAAAAAATATCGATCTTTGTTGAATAGAAGTCGAAATATTTGCGATTGAAGGAGGTCAGGGTGGCCTGGTTTCAGAGGTAAAATTAGTGAGAAAATGGCCGCCAAAGTTTCGTAACTTCGATAACCTGAGAGTCATTGGAAACTGAAAATTTGCATTTTCTGTGCCTTTACTCAATGTTTTTGAGTAAAATCTACTCAAAAATGTGTTTTTAAAAGGACATAACAAGTGTTGAGCCGAAAAAAGAAAATTATTTTAGAATAGGCCAAAAAAAAATGCTGATTTCTTTGATATCATTATTTTTACGAGCGCCTGATTTATTCATGATGCCTCACATAAAATATCACTATGTTGATTAAGAATTTAGGCTAACTGTAATAAAAGCAAAAATATGAACATTCAAAATCATATTTGTCCCCCCCCCCACCCCTCTCCCCCCCTCAAAGACCTGTCTCACGGTCAGATATTCTAAAGCACTAATTTTTGTGAATTTTCATCTGCTTTACATGAACTTTGACTCTATATCCATTGCAAATTATTAGTATTTAGATATTGGACATTTTTATACAAACTAAATACAATAGGCCCACAATGGCGCAATAATATTTGACTTGTTTTTAACAACATGGGGGGGGCGGTTACACCTAAAAGGTATTCGCACCTAAAAAGAATCTGGGGGGTTTCAGGGGGGCATGCTCCCCATGTATTTCACCATAATCTGATGTTTTGGCAATTAGGTTTCGTACTTTCTTGAAAACAATTGACTTGCAAAGGTTTTTGTGGCCATGTTGTGTTCTGAAGCAAAGCAGTTGAGCCCCCCAAACAGTGCAACTGCGTGAGGGTCTAAAAGTATAAATTTACCCCATATTTAATACTGATCATACCAAAAATAATGAATAATCATATTAATTACACATGATCAGATTAGCTCACATTTGGATACTCATCTGAGTTGTAGTCAGCATCATCTGTGTCAGCCATGATGATGGGTCACCACACACTGTAAGTCAACCCACAAGGAAACTATGTACGTTGTGCATGAGCTGTACACTGTGGCATAGCCTACAAGATAGAATAGAACTACATTGCAGTTTCAAGTACAATTGCAATGAATCAAATTACTTGAATTTGAATGTGAATGACTTGACAATGGCAATTTAATGATATGGTGGGAGGAATTCCGTAACGAGCGACCAATATCATGAAACAAGAATAGAATGGAGGGTTAGAGGGTTTGGGGTTGGGTCAGGGGGTCTCTTCTATATTGAGTGTTTGTTGGGGAGGTCGCTCGTTATGGAAATCCTTATAATAAGTTATAATTATAATGAAAGGCCTAATAATGAAATGGCTTTAACACAGCGGTAGGCTCAACTTTAGTCTAGATCTAGATCTGTTTGGGAAGCCCTACACTACACCTTCATTAATTAAAGAAATTAATTTGCACTAGATTAATTAGGCCGAGGCTATATAGATCTATATCTTGATGTAGATTATCTAGATCTAATCTAGATTAGATCTAATCTACATTACCAAAGATAATCACAACAATCACACGAATCAACTAATCTAGAGATCTATCTATAAAGTGTTAATTGCGACAGAGTGACGCTGTGACAACTATGGCGGCTTTAATTGCGAAAGAGTGAACATGAAGTTCTTTTACGTCGATGATTAGAATCTAACACTAACGTCATCTAGATCTCTCCATTTCCGCTTCGCTTCCCAAGGTGGTGGTCCTAGTTATCTAATAATCTCCGCCAGACAAGGAAGGCTTTCTAGAGCAGGCATTCAAATCTTACCAAGCATTTGACAAAGCTTTTGTTAAATTAAAAAATGAAAATTTTGTTGCCTTTAGGAAGAAATCATCTGAAACAGTTGAGAAGGCAAACTTAAAGTGTGTGGCAAAAATCCACAAAGACTTTCTGTACAGTAGAGTTGACTTACACATTATAGACATCCCAAATATTGAGGCAACAAATATTACAACAAACCATCAGCAGCATACAACAGCAACAAAAACCACCAGGGTTGGTGATTTTTTATATTTTTAAAATAAAAATTTTAAAAATCGATTTTTAAAATTTAAATCGGATTTTTTTTTTTTAAAATGTCGACACAGTTTGGGATTTTTGGTGGCTAAAAGTAAGTTCTTTTAGTGTAAAACGCATTGTCTTTATTTTAACTAATGATTAATTTAAGCAACTGCAATTTTAGAAAGCCTTAATCTGCTATATCAGTGAATTAT